AGGATATAGTATTTATGTCTTATTTCCTAAGATTGTATTAATCTGTTCTCTTTTAAAGGATTTGCAAGTTTTTATCCTCTTATCCTCAGTACTGAGTCTTGAACACAGAGCCTTTGCACTGAGCTATATCCCCAGCACTTACTTACTTACTCTCTCTCTCTCTCTCTCTCTCTCTCTCTCTCTCTTGAGACAGTACCTCACTCACTGAATTGCTCAGGCTAGGTGCAAGTTTGTGATCTTCCTGCTTCAGCCCCTTAGCAGGGTGGTGCTACAGATCTATACCACCATGCCTGGCTAAGATTGGTATTTTCTGTGGTTATATTAATTTGTTTAGCATGATACATATAAAGTCAGCCCGATACATATAAAGTCAACCAAACAATACAAACATCAAGCTATTCTTTTTGCCTCAGTTGCTGTTGTCTCACTCTGAGTCCTTCAGACCAGTTGATTGGTTCATGGGGAGGAGGATTGCTTTTCTGGTTTCCCCGCCTGCTTACTGCCTTGCTCTTGGGAGACATGCGTTATCTTCTTACTGAATCTCTTCCCAATCCCCATGGTGGAGCCTGGTTCACGAGAAGGCGTACTTTATTTTCTGGCTGTTTCTTCCCAATCTGCGTGGCAGAACCCCATCTTTAAACTTGTAATTAATTTTATCTTAGTTGCTAAGTTCTCTCATGATGAGAATATATGATATAGTGTTCCATTTTAGTTACTAATGAAGCATTTAACTCTGACCTACACAATATTTTATTATGTAAACATTTACATGAACTTTTCTGTTACCTTACTTATTCTCTACTAGAAGACTTTCATCTTCTTGTCTCTTTGTTAAGAGATATCCCTGCAGGTGATATGTAGAAATCATTTGTCCCCTTTTTATCCTTTGTTATTTTTGCCCTATGTATTACGTAGAATTATAAATGCATTAATTCAGTGTCACAATTCTAGGTTTAAAAAGTGAATTAAGGTTTTGAAATGATATTTCTCCAAAGAAGATACATAAATGACTGTGAAGCAAGTGAAAAAATGTACATCATTACAGTAGTTATGAACTTTAAAAACAATTTTGTTAAGTGAAAAAAGTCAAATCACAAAAGACCACATATGTGATTTTATTGATATGAAATGTCCAGATTGGACTAATCTTTCAGAGATAGAAAGTAGATTGTTGCTTAGGGATAAGACATGGTTAAGGAGATAGGAAAATGATAGGTAAAGATGACACAGAGATTTTCTTTTTTTTTTCCTGAAGAAAGCTATTTTGTAAAATACTTTAAAAGATTTCCTGTAAAGGAAAATGTTCACAAATGTGATGGTTGAACGTACCTGCAAATGTACTAACCATCATTCAATTATCTTAATAAATCTGTTAGACGGTAACAGTTTATGCCTACCGATCAAAATCAAGAGGCTCACAGGTAAATAGAGATTGGGGGGGATCATATTTAAGCAGGACCTGCAAGGTCCCATTTTGTCTTTACAATAAGTACTAAGCACTTCAAATTGTCATGTCAGGGTTATAGCTCTTCGGCCTAAGCACCTGCCTGGCAAGTGCAAGGTCCTGAGTTCCATTCTGTTACCAAAAAAAAAAAAAAAAGACATGTTGTTAATTCTTCTCAGGATGCTGTAGTAGTCCATAGCTGATAAACTGCAGAATATTTTTTGTTTGTTTGCTTTTGGTGTTGGGAATCTAATTCATGACCCAGTGCTTTGCGTGCAGGTTCTGTGCTGCTGAGCTATATCCCTAGCCCCTTTGCTTGGCTTTTTAAACCAACTATTGAGGCATAATTTATAGATTCCTGTCTTTTATTTAAAACAACCACCAAAAATAGGCTTTGACTAGGTTATTCTGGTATATCAGTGATGAGATTTTGGCCTGATACACAAAGAAAGGTGAACAGGACTTTATTGTGGGCATAGAGGGCTGCCAAAAAGACACAAGCAGGCAACCTTGGATTAAAACAAAGAAGTAAAAGTCCTTTTATCGGGTCTGACTGGGGGAGGAGTTTGGGAGGTGGGCAAAATGACATGTCAACAGCTGATTTAAAGGAGCACCTGCGTGCAAAACTGCAAACAGAAAGGTTTACTGGGGTTGGAGGTGGAGTGCTTTTTGGAGTGTTGGGATTGGAGAGAGCTCAACACAGCACAAAAGGGGAACAGGAGGTTTACTTTTGGAGCTAGAAGAACTTAGAAGTTCTACCAATCACCATAACCCTAACTATTCAAGAGGCTAAGACAAGATTATTTCTTGAGTCTAGAGGTTCAAGGACAGCCTGGGTAGCATAGTAAGACTGTCTCCAAAAAAAAAAAATCTTTTTGAGGAATAATTTATGTTGTATAACTTTACCAGCTGCAAGTTTCATTTCAGTGAATTTTACTAAATACGGTTTTGCAACCATTACCATAATTGTAGAACTTTTTTTAATTTTGGGGAATTCATTAAAGCCTGATGGTGTAAGATGGTTCTGTTTTACAAAACTTACTTTTAATATTTTGCAGCTCTTCTCTTTTGCCTTTGTAATATACTTTATCATTTTACGTATACTTTTAAAAATAGCAGTCCTGGGGATTGAATTTAGGAGTACTCTACCATTGTGTGATAGCCCCAGCTGTTTTTATTTTTGTTCTGAAACAGGTTCTTGATAAGTTGCCCAGGGAGGCCTTGAATTTGTAATCTTCTTGCCTCAGCCTCTGGAGTAGCTAGAGTTACAAGCATGTACCAGCATGTCTGGCTTATTTTATTTGTACATAATGAGAGTTTGCTTCTTCTCTAAAGAGTCAATCATCGTGTTTCTCAGTTCTTTTTTTTCCCCCCAGAATTTACACAATATTGTTAAGTAATCATTCTGAAACATTTTAAGATTCTTGTCTAGATTCTGATAAGCGGTTGTTCAGTTGATAGGATTTTATCATGTTGATAAATTATCTATTTTTCTTTTTAAACAGTAATAGAGATTGAACCCATTGCCTTCACACTAAGTTGTATCTCCAACCCTTTTAATATTTTTGAGGCAGAGTCTTATAAATTGCCCAGGCTAAGCTTGAATTTGTGATCCTCCTATCTAAACCTTCAGAGTAGAGGAACCATCATATGCACGAGCACATCCAGTTAGGAATTACCTCTCTAGCTCTGGTTTTCTAGGAGTTTGGCCTTCTAGGCAATATACCATATTTAGAATTAGGCCCTTCTTGCATCTTCAGCAGTTACTGAAAGTTTGTATGTGTTTTTTCCCCTTTGACTTTAAAAGAAGTGGAGAACTATAAAATTTTTAAATGGGTTATTATCATTTTTATTTATTTTGCACTGCTGGAGATTGAACTCAGGACCTCATACATAATAGGCAAGAGCTCTACTTCCCTCATATAAAATATTTTCCTAGTATCAAAATTTTTTGCATTTATGTGATTGTGTATTTTATTCAAATGATCTGTTCATGCACTATAAAATTTGGCTTGTTAATATTAGAGACTTCCTATTTTTACAAACAAAATTGTTACCTAATTTTCCATTTTATGCTTTTTCTAAGGTTTTGGCTAAAGGGTTATACTACCTTCATAATAAATGGGATGGCTTTCCTTTTTTTCTCCATATGTCTTGTAAAGTTCTTCTATAAAGCTATTTTTCTGTTGAAGGCTATTGTAAAGGTAATTCATTGCTTTTTAAAAAAATTACCACTATTTCTTCTTTATATCAGTTTTATGTAAGTACTGTGCGTTAACCAATTGCACCACTGGAGCTCTTATATCAGTTTTAGTAACACATTATTTCCTAGAAAATTGTCCATTTTATTGAGATTATAAATTTATTAGTGTAGACTTGTATATGACTGGTCTTTTTATCTCTTTGTACTACTCAGATTTCTGTATTTTTCTCTTAGTTGTGTTACTCAAAGACAAACATACCTTTTTCTTTCTAAGACCAGCACCTGCATAATTTTATGCATTTTGCTATATAATAGTATTGGTCAGCTTTTATGTTGCTGGGATAAATACTTGGCATATATAATCTGAAGGAGAAAAGATTTATTTTGGTTCATAATTTCAGAGGTTTCATTACATTTGGTCTGCTGGCTCTAAAGCAGAAACATCATGGCAGAATAGTATGGTGAAGGATGCTGGGGATTTAGCTCAGCAGCATAAGTGCCTGCTTGGCAAGCACGAGGTCATGAATTCAATCCCCGGTACACAAAAAAAAAAAAAAAAAAAAAAAAAAAAGAGTATGGTGGAGGAAACCTGCCCAGGAGAGAAAGAGAACCAGGGAAGGGAGGAGGGGAACCCAGATATGAATACTCTTCTAGGTCATCTCCAGACAGGCCACACCTTCAGCAGTGAACTCATTAATAGATTAAATTCACTGAGGAATATAGTGTCCCCATGATCCAGTCATCTTCTGAAAGTCCCGCCTTTGAACACATGAGCCTTTTCCAGGGATATTTTAGATCAAACCATAGTGTTGTTTTTTATGTGCTTTTATGAACATTTAGTTGTTGTTGTTGTTGTTGAGTCAGGGTCTCATGGTACTCATTCTGCCTCAGCTTCCTGAGTGCTGGGATTTATAGGCATGTGCCATCACAACTGGCTTCTATATTGTTTATTTTTTAAATAAATTTTATTGTTTATATTTGAGGTTTACAACTCAGATGTGTGGAATACAAATAGATAGTAAAATGGTAACTAAGGCAAAGTAAATTAACACATGTGTTATCCCACATACATTTTTTGTATGATAAAACCAGCTAAAATGTATTTAACTGAAGTCCCTAATACAATTCAATGTTAAATGTAGTTTTTTAGCTGTAAACACTTGTTAGATCTTAAACTTCTTCATCTTACATATCAGCTCTTTCATGTGCTTTAGCTCACATCTTCCTATATCCTCTCCTATAAATAATTGTGATACTGCATTTGACATGGTAGTTTATAAGAGCTTTTATTACAAAGAACTGATTGCCCAGATTTAATCTATTATTTTTTACAGTGGTCCTTTCTTTTTTCAGGCACGAGATGTACGTACCAATGAAGTGGTGGCTATCAAGAAAATGTCTTACAGTGGAAAGCAGTCTACTGAAGTAGGTTAAATATACACATTCTTATAGGCACATTAGAGAAAGATATTTTTAATTTAGACAAGGGGTAAGATTTTTAAATGTATAATATACATAAAGAAAATGTATAAATCTTACATATTTTCAGTGAATTTTCTTTTAGTGATACTACCCATTTAACTACTAATTAAAACCTAAACAAAATTAGCATCTCAGAAACCTCCCAAGTTGTGTTTCCAGTTTTAGCTTTCTAAACTATGGTTTAATATATCATTGTATGCATATTAAAGTATAATAAGATGTATTTCACAATAAATTATATGAGATATAATCTTTTAAAATGGATTAGAAGTCGTTTGGTAGTTGGTTTAAACAAACTTCAACTAACAGTAGTGGATACAATTTGAAAAACCAAAAAATAAGGGCCAAAGATTTAGCTCAGCAGCTCAAGCATTTGCCTGCTAAGTGCGAGGTTGTAAGTTTGATCCCTGGTACCAAAAAATAAATAAATAAACAAAATCCAAAAAATGAAATTAATGCTATATTGTAGTTTTTTTCCTACTACATTGTATGTAGTTTAATTCTGACTCTTTTAAATTTATAATTATTCTGTTTAAGTACATGAATTTATTTGTAAAATGCAATCTATTTGTTAAATCTGGGATTCTGCTTTTATTTATAATTATGGTAAAATACAGTAAAGTTTACTATCTTTTAACCATTTTTAAGTATGCAGTTCAGTAGCATTAAATACATTGACTTTTCTTTTTTGCCACTATTACCACCATCCTTCACCAGAATGCTTTTCATCCTCCAGAACTAAAACTCTGTACTCATTAAAAAAAAATTCCCCACCCACTAGCAGCCACCATTCTACTTTGTTTCTATTATGAATTTGACTACTTTAGGTATTTCATATAAGTAGAAGCATTCAATGTTTGTCCTTTTGGAACTGGCTTATAACATATAATTTAATGTCCTCAAAGTTTATGCATGTTATAGCATATGGTTGACTTTTCTTTCTTTTTAGTCTGTTCAGACATTCAAACCTCACATTTGTATTCATGTATAAATGTGTATTTCGGTTGCCCATTTGGGTAGATATTCTGAATAATGATGCTATGAACACAACTATGCGAGTATTTCTTTTGAATCCTTTCATTTCTTTTGAGTGTATGTTCAGAGTGGAATTAGTACTTTTATTTTAAATATTTTGTTTTCCTAATTTTGGAATTTATTTTATGTTGAAACTTGTTCCTGTGATGATTATACTATGAGTATGATAATACCATCATGAAAGTTGTTCTTGTGATGATTATGAGTATGATAATACCATCATATTATGTCATTTTTTCATCATTTTAATATTTAAAAATTCTTAATATTTCTTGTAAATTTAAATTTATTCCTGTTGTATAAACAACTTTAGGACTAATTTTCATTAGGCTATTGAATATACTGTGTGGAAAGTCTAATTGATCAGTTATACCTAGAACAAAACGTGTTTACAGCATCATCTTTGGTACCTACTATTGGTATCTTCAATAAATTTTTTATATAGATAACAATTTTTCATAAGACTTTGCCCCTAAAAGTACTCAGTAGAACAAATTTAGCTTTTTTTTAAGGTACCAAGAATCAAGCTCACAACCCTGCTCTTGCCGCTGTTGCTGCTGAGCTAAACCCCAACCCTGAATTTAGCATTTTATGATATATCTTACCCATTTTATATAAGATACTACTTACATATTTTGACATATTTAAGGACTTGTAAAATAACAGAGGTAAAGACTCTTAACTCTAGCACAAAACATTAAAAAAATTTTTTTTACACTACCTTGCCTACTCTTAACTATATTGCTTTTATGAATTTTCTTTAGATAGTAACTTTTCCACTAGGAATTCATGGAGTTTGCATTTAGAAACTTAAATTTCAGAGCAATTACTTCATTTCAATTAAAAATAAAAGACTAACTGTAATATTTGATAGATGAAATAAGCCAAAAATACAATAAAATGAACTTCATGGCATGCAAATTAGAGCTATCAGGCTATCAATTGAAAAAAGGTTAGACTTTTGATGATATGTCACTAGTACAGTATGTTAACATGTTTGATGGTGTATGGCTGTACAATTTTTTTTTTTTTTTTTTTTTTGTCTTTTTCCTTTTTATCTGTTCCGGGGATCGAACTCACAACTGCCTGCTTGCAAGGCAGGCGCTTATGCTGCTGAGCTAAATCCCCAGCCCCCTTGGCTGTACAATTTTAATAGGACCCATTGATCATAAATTTTATCAAGCTAAAATTTGTCCTACCTTGAGTGAAATAATTTTGTAGATTATATAATTGTCATAAACTATATAAATCACTTTCTTTTAAATTTTTTATTTTGATATTTCATCTAAAAATTTTAAAGTTAGCAAAGTTACATGTTCTTGTTAACCCAATCCAGTAATTGCTTTCTTCTTCTATAACTTTCTAAGGAAAACTAGCTGTTCATAGTTCTTTCCCTTACTCCTTTTTCTTTCCCCACAGAAATGGCAGGATATTATTAAGGAAGTCAGGTTTCTACAAAGAATAAAACATCCCAACAGTATAGAATACAAAGGCTGCTATTTACGTGAACACACAGCATGGGTTGGTATCTGTTTCCTCCTTGTTTCAATTTTAATTGGTTTTGTTTTAAAATGAATGAATTCAAAATGTCTCAAACTGCTTGTTCAAAGGCATGCAAAAACACCTGAAATGTTAAATTCATCTTAAGAGAGAAAATGTAGCATTCTTCTTTTAGCATCCTAGACCTTATGGGCAAAAAGAGATAGTATAACTTTTCCAGGTCTATTTTCTCCAGAATGCTGCTGATCATCATATAAATGGTAAAATGTCCTCTGATACTGTCAGTGGTACCTTCAAAGTTATTAGGAGGCAGAAAACCAAATTCTGGAACTGTATATTTAAGGTTTAAAGGTAACAATTTAAAGGTTTGCGTCTCTCCTTTCTTTTTTGTCTTCTAGGTTCTCACTATGTTGCATGTTGCTTAAGCTGGCTTTGAACTCCTGGGCCCAAATGATCCTCTTGCCTCAGCTCTCAAAATAACTGGCACTACAACATGTACCATCACTTCTAGCTTTAAATGTTTCCTTTAAACCAAACACAAAGTGCCACCTCTGTGCCAGATGTTTTATAAATGTATTAGCCATTTTAATCCTCACAACAACCTTAAAAAGTCTTATTGTAAAAAGTCTTAATGCTCGAGAATGAGAGTTAACATATCTTTTTAACATAAATGGATGTAAATCATTTAACCAGAAGTATCTTGGTAGTTTGAACTGATCATGCATCCTTAGCTGAATAATACTAAATGTGGAAAATTAAAATACTTTCTTATAAGAACTAGAGATTTGTTGTTTTTGTTTTTGGTGCAGGGAATCAAACTCAGGACCTTGTGCTTGCCAGGCAAGCACTGTGTTGCTGAGCTGTCTCCCCAGCCCCTTTTTTTGTCTGTTTGAGACAGAGCAGTTCAGGCTGTCCTTGAACTTTGTAGCGCTGGTTGGCTTCTATGGAGTTCAGGCTGTCCTTGAACTTTGTAGCGCTGGCTGGCTTCAAACTCACTGTGATCCTCCTTCCTCAACTGCCCAACTGCTGGAAAAGAACTAGAGATTAATTTTATTGTGTTTTTCCACATTGAAGCAATATGGTAATTATTTTGTAGTGGTACCATATATGCATAGTAACTGTATTTTTAAAGAGAAAAATAAAATTTCCTTTTAAACAGAAATTATTCCTTATTTTGAATAATAAAGCACAGCTAATTATCACTTTAATGTAGTTGGCTTAGATTTAGATTTGTAATTTGTGGAGGCTTTTTATTTAATTTGATTTTGGTAATGATGGATCCTAAAATTGAGGATATTTTTGAAGAAGAAGCAGTGGCATTGGGCAGGTTAACCATGTGTCTCTTAATTTTCTCCATCTGTAAAACAAGGATGATAATAGGCGATAATTTTTAAGGTTGTTGTGAGGATTAAAATGGCTAATACATTTATAAAACATCTGGCACAGAGGTGACACTTTGTGTTTGGTTTAAAGGAAACATTTAAAGCTAGAAGTGATGGTACATGTTGTAGTGCCAGTTATTTTGAGAGCTGAGGCAAGAGGATCATTTGGGCCCAGGAGTTCAAAGCCAGCTTAAGCAACATGCAACATAGTGAGAACCTAGAAGACAAAAAAGAAAGGAGAGACGCAAACCTTTAAATTGTTACCTTTAAACCTTAAATATACAGTTCCAGAATTTGGTTTTCTGCCTCCTAACAACTTTGAAATTTAATTTTATATATATATAGTATATACATATGTTAGTAATGAAATTCATAGCTTATAGAAGTTATTACATGCTGACATTAAAAGATAAATGTGTCAAAAAAAGATAAATGTGTCCTTGGCTTATTTAATACATATGTTTAATTACTAAATATATAACTAATTTTTAAGCCAGATGATGACTGCAGTTTGTTTTACTGTAAACTCTCTTCATGACCTCCTAGGTAAATTAATTGTATCCCAAATAGATTACATGTTTGTATTTTAATGTTTCCATAATTTTTTTCTCTATAGCTTGTAATGGAATATTGTTTGGGATCTGCATCAGATTTACTAGAAGGTAGGTTTCCTTTGTTTTTTTTTTTTTTTTTTTTTTTTTTTTTGTACCGGGAATCGAACTGAACAACCTCACGTTCGCCAGGCAGGTGCTTATGCCGCTGAGCTAAATCCCTAACCCTCCTTTGATTATTAAAGAAAAACAAAGAATTTTTTTTTTTTGTCTTTTTCATTTTTTTTTATTGGTAGCGGGGATCGAACTCACGACTGCCTGCTTGCAAGGCAGGTGCTTATGCTGCTGAGCTAAATCCCCAGCCCCAATGATAATTCAGTTAGATTCTTTAAACAGTGTTAACACTAAAAAACATGAAAGCTTTCTAGGAAGAGTAAAAACCTTGGCTATTCTCAGCATGTTGATACAGTACAGTATATACTATTCTTATAAATCTTATATAGATAGTATAAAATATGAAAGTTTTCTTTCATTGTAACTTCTCCAGCATTTTTCTGGATTCTTTGGCGTACATCTTGGTCTGCTCCTTCTATTCAAAACAAAGACAAATGTAAATAATGGGAGAACTAGTTTTGTTTTCATGATCACCAAATAATTGTTCAATATTGGTAGCTTAGGGCAGGTGGAGTGGCACATATCTGTAATCTTTAACACTTCAGAATATGGGACAGGTAGGAGGATTGGGAGTTTGAGGCCCTTCTGAGCTACATAGTGACACTCTGTCTCCACAAAAAGAAAAGTGTAAAAAGGTTAGCTAAGAAAGGAAATTAGTTGAGAATTACATTTATAGCCAGCTAACTGTGTACTAGTTAGAAAGTTCAGTAGCCTTGTCTTATTGTGGGACACAAATCTATTCTTGCTAAATGTGTTTTTTAAAATTACTCATTTATCAGATATGTGTGTTTTTGAAACAAAACATTATAGGTAATAATGATTTTTAAATAAATTCTTATTTTAAGTTCACAAAAAGCCACTACAAGAAGTGGAAATAGCAGCAATAACACATGGTGCTCTCCAGGGATTAGCCTACTTACATTCGCATACAATGATCCATAGGTAAGTACTTTGAAAATTATATTGACAAGCAAGTGGCATGTTGCATTTGTCAGCCCCGAAGTATAATAAACCTGAAATTTTTGTTGTTTTTATCCAAACAGAAGTTATATAAACACATTTTTTGTCATCTATGTTTTTTTTTTTTTTTTGTCTTTTTCGTTTTTATCGGTACCAGGGATCGAACTCACGACTGCCTGCTTGCAAGGCAGGCGTTTATGCCGCTGAGCTAAATCTCCAGCCCCTTGTCGTCTATGTTTTTAAGAGAATATAGTAATACACTTGATCTCTGTCTGGGATAATTTTTATGTTTGTCTACTTGTATCACTAGACTTTCTAAAGAATATCCACTTCGTGGGTTTGTGGTAAAAATTTAGTTAAGAATCATTTAAATTTTAGAATGGAAAAGGTGTTAGGTATTATATAGTCTTGTCTTTTTCATTGTGTAAGGGAAGAAACTGGTGCCCCAGTTTGTGACATAATTTCCCAAAGATTGCAAAGCCTAATATATTAGAGATAGAATTTAACAAATTCCTTCATTTTCCTGGTGACTGGTAATTGCAAATTTGCTTCTTTGATTCCATGACATGAACAAAGACTATGCTTTTGAACCTTGATCCTTGGCAAGGCTCGGTAATGGGTATTAACCATAAAGTTAAAAATACTACTTTATAATGTTTTTTTTAAGTTAGTTTTAGCTGTTTTAGAAACTAACATTTTAAAATTATACATTGAACTAGACACTACATATTAAACTATGTAATAGGATCATTATGACTTAATAGGTTATCATTTTTTTAGATGAAGTTAGTAAAGTCCGAGATAAATCAAGTACCTCTTGGTGTATAACACCCAAGTTTTAATCCTTAGCATCCCCTAAAAAACAAAAAATCCCTAACTAAATAAAAATAAAAACATTACACTTTCAAAGTGATGGGAAATAGATTCATGTAATACTATATGCACTAAAATATTTTGATAAGAATTAAAAAATGCCTGGAAATTTAATTTTTCTTCCTTGAATTTGAAAAGTTAAGAGTATGTTATAATGCTTATTGAATATATAATCCCATTGTATAAGAATCTGTAACTTTCTTAGTTTGGTTGTTTACTGTTTCTAGGAAGCGAGTTTGAAAATAAATCTGAGATCATTCTCCGCATATTTCAGTTTGCATATTTAGGAGAACTATGCTAAAGTTTGAAAATGGTGTAAATAATCTTTTTTTTTTTTTTTTTAAGTTTAGAGGTTAAAGTTCTTTTTTTTTCCTTTTTTTAGTAACATTTCATGATATGCTCAAACTTACACATCATCCATAAAGGGATTGTGAGCTGATTACATAAATTCTATTGTGAAAGCCACTGTTTATATCATTAAACAAAAGTTCAACTATAGACTATATGGCTGCAGTTCCCTGATTTTTCTGTCTTTTTAAACTATGTGTCTTCTCTTTTAGGATATTGGTACTATGTATTTATTTGAATTCTGTATTTTTGTTATATTTCTCTATATGTGTCTTAGAAATTCTTAATTGATTTTTATCATTTTAAACACAATCTAATGAAGAAAAAATAAATAATTTTCTGTTTTCCTTTAAACCCAGAGATATCAAAGCAGGAAATATCCTTCTGACAGAACCAGGCCAAGTGAAACTTGCTGACTTTGGATCTGCTTCCATGGCATCCCCTGCCAATTCTTTTGTGGGAACACCATATTGGTAAGAATAGTCCTATCTAGTATTGATTCTTATAATTGAAAGAACAATGTGTTGGTATGCTTTTTTAAGATATCTTTTCTTTTTTCTGAAAATACGGTACCACTCTGGATATTTCTGCTTTAAGTAATTAGTTTTAAATGTAGATTTAGAGTGCTGTCTTTGCATCTTCTTTTTATCTTTTTTCTTTTCATCTTTTCATTTCTATTTCATTTTATCCCTACCACATTTGCTTTTGTATTATTTTTTGCATCATATATTGTGGGAGTGATAAAAACTCAGTAACATTCAGTGGTAGGAGCTAGACATGCTAAATGGTAATTTGTGTTTTCTCTAAATTTAAATTTATTAAGTATCACTGATCTTCAGACTAACTGATTGGGAGTTTTTTCAGTTTTTTGTTCTGATTTTTTAGTGTAGAGAATTTCAACTATACATAGAAGTTGACTTAAGTCTGATGATTTCATATATGCCAGTTACTCCACCCAATAACCTTATCACATAGCCAGTCCTGCTTTATGAATTCTGATTTCTTCCACCTTGGTCATTTTGAAGGAAATCTTAGGCATCATCTAATTGCATCTGTAAATAATTCAATATGTATCTGTGGCTGAAGTTAGAAAGGAGTTACTTTTCAGATCTTTAACTCCTATATGTATCTTCTTTTATATGTACTGAGTGGTGCATTAAGTCACTACTGCATCTTCTTTTTTATCTGCCTTTCAAATTTCCCTTATAAAAGAAAGCTTTCTTACCTATCCTGAATAGTACAATGATGTATTTGCTCTGGAATTAAAAACTGTAGACATATACTAGAGATACATTTTGAGAATGTCTAGCTAGTATCTATGAGAAATAGTGAAAGATCAGTACTCAAATAGATGGCAAGGTCCTGTACTTTTCTAGTATCCTCCTTCCCTTCCCTTTTATTCATTTTTTTCTTTTTTCCCCATAACTCCTCTTTTTTGTATTTCCCCTAGTATAGAATTCTTTCCAAAGATAATTGCTGTGGGACACATGAATATGTTTACTTGTGTTGAAAAATGAAGTTAGACCTTTCCTGACGTAAAGTCCTTCTGATTTGTCTGATTGATGCGACCTAAACATTAGCTTTGCTAACTAGGTTTATATGGCAGTGTTTTTAATAAATTGAGTGAACTAATTCTGCAGCTCCAAGTTTTAGATATCTTTAAAGCATACATACAATATACAATATTTGTATGTGCTATACCTTCTCAGCTGTTATGTTTACAAAATGTAGGTAACCTCCAAATGGGCAAGGGGATTAAAAAAATTTTTATAAATTCTAGTAAATATATGAGCTGGAAAATATAAACTCATAATGACCAAGAATTTCTTTTGTAGAACCTAGTTTATATATATACTTCCCCATTTCTCTCTGTAAAGATGGATTCTCTGATACAATAAAGCTTAATGATTTCCCTGTTTAGAAATTTGTGATGTATATTACATATTTAAAATGCCCATGAAGTCCTTCATTAAAAAAAAAAAAAGTTACTTCTTTAACTTTTGCTTAAGTCAGCAACTTCTCCTGTTTTTTTTTTTTGGATACTGGGATCAAGCTCACAACCTCACACCTGCTAGGCCGGTGCCTAAGTCACTGAGCTAAACCCCCAATCCCTACTTAGCAACTTCTTAAACTTACAACTTGTGAAGCCAGGCTTGTTGGAGCACACCTGTAATCCCGGCAATTCAGGACAGCCAGGCTATGTAGTAAGTTTGAGGCTAGCCTAAACTACATAGACCTTGTCCCAAAGGGATGGGAGAGAGACACAAAAGTAAAAAAAAGAAGGAAAGGAAGGAAGGGAGAAAGGAAACTTGTAAAACATCGAGTTGTGGAGTATTGAAAGTTTTATTTATTAATATACTTGTTATTTTTGTATAATGCATTTAAAACACAAGAATTTGAGTACATACAGCTTTATACACATATATGTAGCATGGCTGTTAATCTTAGTGAAGCAGTTACAACTCTTATAAAAGGTGTTCATCCAAAAAAAAAATAAAATGAAAAATAAAAGGTGTTCATCTGTGCTTAGCATCAAATACAAATGAAGTGTAAAGTACCATTAAGAGTGTTACATTCTAGTTGTAGTTGTGAATTGGGTTTTGAGTTTATAACTAACATACCCATAAGATTGACAACTTTGAATAGTGAACTGCTTTAGCCACTCTTATCATTTAGTATCATTTATTCTCTGGGAGACATATATAAACTATGTTTATTTGGTTCTTAGTTATTATGGCAGAGTTTCTCAGGTAACTCAGGTGAAGCTGTCAGTTCAAGAATAACTGATGTTTGTTGCCAGTGGTAAAATTCAGTCTTTCATTACTTTTATAATGAAATCCTGAAACCAGTGTTTGTGAACCACTGGCCTAAAGGATATGTAATATTGAAATCTGCAATTTGAACAGATGCAGAATACAACCTTGCTCTGAAGTTCCTCCTCCTTTTGGGATGCTATTACATGATCATGACAATATTGAGAATGAATCTAACACTGTATGCATTACTAAATATTTACCTCACAATCTCTAATATAATCATTTCTAATTATGAAATTCTTATGTCCACATGTGTCGGCTAAAATTCAAACCCATATCCTCTGTATAACTGATCCTTATATTCTCAAAGAATAGCAGTTTTTAAAAACTTAAATTGAAATGAATACTTTATGTTGTAGGATGGCCCCAGAAGTAATTTTAGCCATGGATGAAGGACAGTATGATGGCAAAGTTGATGTATGGTCTCTTGGAATAACATGTATTGAACTTGGTAAGGACTAGTCTTCATTACATTATATTTGCTATTTAATTAGGTCTCAGATAATTTTCCACTGTGGTTTTAAGTTTGAGTTATCTATGTCTAACATTAATGAGTACTTGTTAAATACCTAAATTGTGCCCATCGTTATGAGTTTTATCATCTGTAAAAGGATGAAAGCATTCATGAATTACTTCTACCTATGATAGTTGTAACTTTAAGTTAGGTATGAATATTAAATGTCAGACTGCATTGTATATTGTAACAGTTTGAGTTTTTTTCTTTTAAGATAGGAAGGCAGACTTTATTCAAGGGCACATGGTGATAGGTATAAAAATCAATGCATTGGTGCTTGCTAACCCTTACCAGTGTGATTGTATGTATATATTTTGTTTTGTTGCTCCTAACTGGAGATATGCTAAAAACAATGGACCATTATAACTTAGTAAATAAGGTGGGAAAATGAACTGTTACTGAGTTTATTGTCAACTTGTCCCAAGCAAATACAAACGAACTTTTCCCATTGCGATGTATGGGGAAGTGGTGAAATTTGAACTTATGTACCTTACCTTTTACGATTCTACTGTATGAGCATATATAATATGGACTCTTCCCTGTAATGTTTTTTACTGGGTATTGTTTTTGTGAAATTAACTTTTTGGACCTTATGGTTTTTCTATCCATTTTCATCTCATTTCCTCTCTAGTGTGGGTCGTATTTTGTAGAAGCATTCCATTTATGGACAGAGACATTTCAGAAATAGTGTATACAAAATAATAGAGTAGGATATCTTTAACTTTTTTGGGGGGTGTTGGTACCAGGGATCAAACTCATAACCTCATACCTGCCAGGCAGACGCTGTACCACTGAGCTAAATCCCTGGCCCACATTTTATAAAATAAATCTAGCTTAAATGAAATTTAAATTTATTAGTAGCTTACAAGATTTTGAGATAGAAGATGTCAATTGAATCTGCCGAATTAAAGACCATAATAATTGTCTTAGAAAGAGATTATTTATTCATTCAGAATTTCTTCAGCAATCCTTTGTTCTTCCCTACACTATTCAATTTTATAGCTAATGGGTGGGACAGAGTAGGTAGATATCAGCATTAGTCAGCTTTCTGTCATTGGGGTAACAACTATGATAGTAACAACTTGAAGGAGGAAAGGGGTTTTTTTGGCCCACAGTAGGAGAGATTTCAATAATAATTGACTGGGGCCATTGTTTCTGGGCCTGTAATAAGACAGTAATATATCATGGATGGTGGAGCTAAGATTTTTTTCTTTCTTTGGTTTTTTTATGTTGTTTTTTGTTTTTTTTCTTTTTTGACCAGGAGCGAACTCATGACCTTGTGCTTGCCAGGGAGGCGCTTGTGTCACTGAGCTAAATCCCCAGCTCTAGAGCTAAAATGTTTACCTCATGTTGGCCAGGAAGAACAAAGAACATGAGGGCAAGCATGCACTGTCAGGTCTTCTGCCTTCACTTTAGTTCCACTGTGGGTCCCAGCTTATTGGATAGTACTATCCACAGTAAGGGCAGGTCTCCCCTCAGTTTGCTGTCTCACATGCCAGTCTTTCTGTAAAAACCTTCATAGAAACACTCAGAAGTGTGTTTTACTACTAAGTATTTCTCAATCTAATCAAGTTAACAAGATTAACCATTACAGTATCCATGATAGGTGAGCCAAGGTAACTCAGTGTGGGTCCCAGAATCAAATGAATACAGTAAAGAGTTCCCACTGCTGTTATGAAATCAGTGATTATATCTAGCAGGTGGCTGTCAGATGTGAAGACTCTGGCCCTAATAGAGTGATACATAGAAGTGGTTCACCATGAGTTATCAGAGCCTGAGAAGGGTGAGGAATTGACCAACCAAGAGGAGCATTCCATTATGTAGAGTCAGAGTCTAAAGAAGCAGATCACATAGGGGCATCCTGACACAGTGAAAATGTAAAGTGAAGAAAGTTTCCCTTGTGACGTGTATGCCTTGGCTGTAGAGATGTCACCTGGTTTGATGGAGTGTCAGAAACTGAGTAGGTGAAGAAGGCATTTATACTATATGGTGGGGTGGAATAGGGATTCAGAATTTAAACAGGAAAAGGAAGACATCTGCTGAGAAGAGAAGATAGTAAAAATGGAAACTTGGTGGAGAAGAGTTTTATTAAATAATATATGTTAAAGATCACAATAAAGGGGCTGGGGATTTAGCTCAGCGGCATAAGCACCTTCCTTGCAAGTGTGTGGTTGTGAGTTTGATCCCTGGTACCTATAAAAACGAAAAAGACCAAAAAAAAAAAAAAATTACAAAAAAGATTGTTTATTGTCAGAGAAGAGTTTTATAAATATAGAAAGAGAAAACTAAAATAATCACTATGATTCAGATTGAAATTCAAGATATAGTGAACTTGTTTTCAATAAATACAGAAATATAGATGGTTTATGTGCATCATTGTAGACAAATTGTATATAAAATATACACATGCACATATTTTCTAACTCTGTCCAATTAGAGGCCCTGAGAGTAGTGACATCCCAGTAATAGTGAGCACACCTAATGTTACGGCTCCTTGGAGAAATGATTGATCAGGTGTCTGGGATAGGAAAATACAAGTTGATTTTGAAACACTTTCATGGACCAGAATGATGAAGGTATATCCAAAAAGACAGAGAAGCCAACTTCAAAAAGTTCCCTCTGCTCAAATATGAGACAATTTCAATATGGTAAATGATAAATTATAACTTATTAAATAAAATAGAAATATTAACTCATTAATTACTTAAAATTAAGGTTTTATGCAAAAAATATTTTGTATAGATTCAGAATACCTTCTCATTAAATGCCTATTAAGTACACAAGGAGGAAAGAGAAACTACTATGAAGAAGCCTGACAAATGCAGGCTTAATGAAGTAAGCAAATTGAATATAGCAATATGACCACTTGAAATCATGTGCTACTGTAAGATACAATTAGCAAAGTATTGCATTACTTCTGTGATACTCTGCCAAAGAGGTATGAGATATCGAAATCTAATAGGAAATATCAGACAAATCTAAGCTGAGGGATATTCAAGAGTCCTGATTATTTCAGAATCATCAAAATCATGATTTTAGCTTTTTCCTTAACAAACTAGAAAAAGGGTGCCAGGCATAGTGGTGCATGCCTATAATCTCAGCACGTAGTGGGTTGAGGCAAAAGGATTGGTTCGAATTTGAGGCCAGCCTGCGCTACAAAGTGAGTTCAAGGCCAGCCTGAATTGCAAAGTGAGGCCCTGTCTCAAAAAAAAAGAAAAGAGAAGAGAAAAGAAAAGAAAAGAAACTAGAAAAAGGAGCTGGGCAAAGTGGCACATACCCATAATCTCAGCACTTGGGAGCTTGAGGCAGGAGGATAAGGCAGTGACAAGGCCAGTATGGGCTATATGGAAAAACCTGTTTCAAAAACAAAACAAAATACTAGTCCCCAAGGCGTGGGGGACTAGTAAAAGGAGTAAATTAAATCCAAAGTGAGCAGAAGAAAGAGGTTAATGACAAAGATTAAAACAAAAATCAGTTGAATGAAAATAAAGATGATCATGAAATTGGTAAACCTTTTTCTGAAGGCAAAACACTAATGTCCAATATCAAAAATATGAAGTGACTATCACAGCAAAACTTAAGAGAAATTAAAGGACAATGGGGAAATAGAAACAATTTCATATTTGTAAGCTTGAAAGTATTTGAGTACTCTTATATAACATGCACATATTTTAATAGAAAGTTTCCTTTTTTACAGCGGAAAGGAAGCCTCCTCTATTCAATATGAATGCAATGAGTGCCTTATATCACATAGCCCAAAATGAATCCCCTACACTACAGTCTAATGAATGGTGAGTATTACTGAGCCATATTGTGTGACACTGTATACATGAAATATTTTTTCATAATCTGTTGTTTAAGTAAAAGGTATTACCAGAAGAAATACTAAAATATGTTTAGAGCCAGGCATAGTGGCACACACTTTAATCCCAGTGCTTGAGAGGCTAAGGCAGGAGTATTGCTGAGAGTTTGAGACCATCCTCACCAGATACAGTGAGTCCTTGCCAACCTGAACTACATAGCAAGACTTTGTCTCAAAAAAACAAAAGTATTACCCTTCCTTTGCCAGGTCTGTATTTTATAGCATGTATATAATTCAATTCAGAAGAAAAGGATAGATAATATGAATGTACAAAGTATTGGTTATAACAAAAATGCAGCTGTTCATGGGATGCACGTCTATAAGCCCAGTACTTGAGAGGCTGAGGCAGGAGAATCATTGCAAGTTTAATACCAGCCTGGGCTACATACAAAGTGAGCTAAAGGGCAGCCTGAAATGCATAGTGACACCCTGTCTCAAAAAGATACAACACACACACATGCACACACACTCACATATACACACACAAATTGTCATACAAAATTCAAATTGTCATACAAAATTAATTCTTTAGGCATCCTTAGCATCTGAAACATTCTAGGGTAGTATCTGGGATGTTTAATAAATGTTTTAAAATTCACAAATAGATACAGAAAATAAGGATACTTTATCATTTTAAAGATTACATAATTAGAGCACATTTATAAGTCTGCTAATTATATAGAGATATGTGAAGAAATCTTTGGCAGTTTAGTACTATGATACATCTTAGTCTGCTTTGTTATCTATAATAGAATATCTGAGACTGGATAATATATACAGATACACATTTATTTCTCACAGTTCTAAAGTCTGGGAATTCTAAGACCAAGGCTACCGCTGGGTTAGGGCTCAGTTTCTGCTTTTAAAATGGTATCTTGAACCCTGTACCCTCTAGAGAGAAGCACTGTTGTGTGCTGTTATGGGAAAAAAAAACAAATAGTGTAAACCCACTGGTGCATAGATTCGTATGAAAGAATATAATCTTTGCCCTTTTTTACCATGCTGTTTCTAGTCCCTGTCCCACTAGTAATAAGCACATACCTTGATTTGTGTGTGTGTGTGTGTGTGTGTGTGTTTGTGTTTTAAAGGAAATAGCAATATGTTCACTTGATACTTTCCTTTACAATAGGTCTGATTATTTTCGCAACTTTGTAGATTCTTGCCTCCAGAAAATCCCTCAGGATCGTCCAACATCAGAGGAACTTTTAAAGGTCAGTTCTACAATACTCTGTCAATAGTCTGTTTTTACCCTTGATAAGTGATTTTACACAGTGTGTTTTATTATTCTTTGATTCTGAATCAGGATTATATATATATACTGTGATAATTTTTATTAAATTAATTTTTTCCAATGCTAGAAATCAAACCCTGGACCTCCATGAGTGCTAGCCAATACTCTATACCAATCCCCCACACCCCAGCACACTGAACTGTGGATTTTCTTATCCTGTGTTCTCTACAAACTTTTTTTCCTGTATCTTCCCCCCACCTTATTATACCTTCTCTGTCTCTCTCTCTCTGTCTCTCTGTCTCTCTGTCTCTCTGTGCTGGTAATATAAACAAGTGCTCTTATTACTGACTCATACATGCAACCTTGTAAACTTTACTTAGATGCTAAGTTGTTTGTTGTTTTTAAATAAAATAGATTAACTGCTTAGCTACTTTTCTCATGTTTAACTAAAATCTATATTCAAAATAGTACTAAATGACTAGATACTTATATATGCACCGTGTAGTAACTGATTGTACCACAGGAATGCCCTAGATACTGACATCTGCAAGAATATATTTGTGAGTTATAAAGTGTGTATGTGCATATGTGCATGTGTGTATGATACTAGGGATAAAAACTAGTCAGGTGCTCTGCCACTGAGCTATATTCCCAGCTCCTATAAATTTTAATTCCTATAATATAGTCTTATTTCAAAATGAGTTTGGGCTGGGAGTTTAGCTTAGTGGCGCAGGTACCTTCCTGGCCAGCACAAGGTTGTGAATTGGATTCCCCAGTACCCGCCACCAAAAGGGTTAAAAGTAAATTAACTATGGGTGTGTGTGTTTGTGTGTATTACTGGCGATTGATCCCAGTGCATTCACACTGAATTATATCCCTAACCCTTTTTATTGTACTTTTTAAAAATTTTGAGACAAAGTATCACTAAATTGTTCAACCTGGGCTTGAATTTACAGTCTTCCTGCCTCAGCTTCCCAGAGTGCATGGAGTACAGGTGTGTGCCACAACACCCCGCTTAGATCTAATTTTTTTCATCTGTCATACTTTGTATATTGATCTGCCCAGTCTTAATATAATGTGAAATAAATATATGATTATAGAAATCTGTGGGGAAAAATACATAAATATATGAGAAACTGTTAAAAAATGGGTATAATCTGTTCCAGCTGGGCATAGTAGCAGAAGGCTGTAGTCTTAGCTGCTTAGGAGGCTGTGCAACAAAGCAAGACTTTTATCTCAAAAGAAAGAAAAGAAAGGAAGGAAGAATAGAAGGAAGGAAGGAAGGAAGGAAGATAGACCTCCTTTTATGGAAATCTTTGTTCTTAACCAAACTGGGTAAATTGTATTTCATTTTCAACAGACTTGGTTGCTTAATTTAAATATATGACTAGTGTGTGCTTTTTATTCTCAGACAATCACTTCGTTTGAGAATTGAATATCCTACTAATACCAGTAATGAATTTCATGTAGTTATTAAGCTATCTAGATTAGACTATAGCAAGTATGATTTGATTCTATCACTTATAACCCTAAATACTCTTTGATTTTTCACAAAATTTAAGTGAACTTTTTATGCCAATATTTTATAATTTCAGAGTGGTAAACATCAGCTAAATTAAAGCTGCAAAGAAATTTAAAATATTTGATAACATGGAAACCATAGTATATAGAAAAGCAATATGAAGTTTTAGTAGTGCCTACAGAATTCTATGCAGTGGGCTTATTCTTGGTCTCAGAAGTGAAAACTTCATTAAGTAGGCTTTCATGATAGCAATAAAAGCCTTAATACATCTAGGAATTATGTGACTAAAAACTAAGCAAAATCAGGTTGGGGAAGTAGCTTGGTGATGGAGTACTTGCCTAGTTAGGGTCTGAATTTAATCTCTAGTACCAGAAGAAAATAGAGTAACAGTAGTGATCCTGATAGTGGAGTTATTCTTTCTATTTTCCTGTATTTTATAAAGTTTAGTTTCATTAAATGTTAGTAATAAAAATCAATAACAGTGGCTATTAATCATCATTAGTGTTTTATGCAGTCTTATATAACATATAAAGGAACGCACAGTATCTAAATTTAGATTAGTTATTTCATGTCAATAAATATTCCTATTGAAATCAGTTCTTGGAGATCATCAGTTCTTAGAATGTATAAACTTATATCAACAGGCTCTGATTAGACTTAATTCTTACTGTTTGAGTCCTTTGATAATTTCAACTGTATTTTCATTTGGTCAACAAAAATATTAAATTCAAGGTTTTATAAAACATGCAAAAATGGTTTCTAGGCACAGAGTAGATGCTTATAGATGATTGTTTTGTTAAGTACCAAATAATAGAATTAGTTACAGATTATATGCATTATGTAGCATAAGATAGAAACTCTAGCAAAAGAGTCCATTTGCACTAATTAAACAAAAATTTCAACCTGACTTGAAGTTTTAATCTAACTTCTTCCCTCTCCAGCACATGTTTGTTCTTCGGGAGCGCCCCGAAACAGTGTTGATAGATCTTATTCAAAGGACAAAGGATGCCGTAAGAGAACTGGACAATCTGCAGTATCGAAAAATGAAGAAACTCCTTTTCCAGGAGGCACATAATGGACCAACAGTAGAAGCACAGGAGGAGGAAGAGGTAATTCCTAAAATGATTCAAATCTTAAGTGAGTTTTATTTCCTTATGCAACTTTCCCTGCTAAGAATTTACTTTTTATATCAATAATTTCCAGACTTTGCTTTCTTAACATTGGTTCTATAAGATCGCATTTAGAAAAAAGGCATTTAATTATACTTTGTTGCATGCTCTAAACTAAACGACTTTATGCAATACACATTAGCTTGATAAAGGATAATCTAGTTCATCTCATGTTTCTTGATCAATGAACCATTTTGATTGATCATCCAGTTCCATGGAACATGCTTTTTTGAAAGCACTTGGAAGTTATGGACTCTAAAAGTTGACTGTACTCCAAGTATTAGAAAGTTACCAAGCATTCTACTGTGTCATCGAGGAAATGTGATATTTTTAGTTCTGCATTTTATTCCATTTACAAGGTTCTAAAGTATTAATTTAAGACCAGACATAGTGGCACTTGGGAGGCTGATATAGGAGGGTCACTGTAAGTTTAAGACCAACCTAAGCTACATAGTTCAAGCCCACTTTGAACTACAGAGTAAGATCCTGTGAGTAAACAAACAAGTAATTCATTTTACAGATGAGGAAAGCAAAATTCAGAGTAGTTAACTTACTATACAGTAGAGGCACATGGGTTCAAATTCATAACCATAAAGTGCTGCGTTGCCTTTCAGGAAGAATGGTAATATAGATTTGCAGTAGAAGTGTTACAGAACTTTCTCACAAGGAAGTATACATATAAAGTATTATGTGTGAATTATCTTTCTTTCTCTAAATATTTTATTTTCTTTTAGTAAAGTTACAAAATTAATAAAATTCTCTGCTTAAATTTTAAATATATACTAGGGACCTAAGAACAATCCTGTTATATATGTGTCTGTATTGATTAAATTTTTATCGTGTCTTACAGAAGTCTGGTATGGTAAGACAATGAAGCTGTTGGTGCTCTAGTCCCATTGTTGTCTGATTACCTTCGAAAACATCCTTGTGTAGGGCTGGAGGTTTAGCTCAGCGGCATAAGCACCTGCCTTGCAAGCAGGCGGTCGTGAGTTCGATCCCCGGTACCGATAAAAATGAAATTGAAAAAAGACCCAAAAAAAAAAAAAAAGAAAAGAAAACATCCTTGTGATTATAATTGAATATATATATGTAATTTATAAATCATAATTTATAGGAAAATAGGTAAGAATTAACAGTCAAATAGCCAGGTGTGGTGACATATGCCTGTAATTACCAGCATTGTGGAGACTGAGGCAGGAAGATTGTCATGAGTTTGAGGCCAGCCTAGACTACGTAGTAAAGCACTGTCTCAAAAACAAACAAAAAACAATAAAATATTTGGTGACATAAAATCTAAAGACCATCTTTTTAGGAAAAAAAGGAGAATCTTCTTTGTAAAAGGCTTCAATAAAGACTAAGCACTAAAAGGATTATTTAAAGAATTTTTAAAATGAGTTTGTGTTAGCCAATAGAGTCACTGAGAAATGAGCAAACTGCCTATCCCCATGATATATATATATATAATTTTTGAGGGAGGGGTCTTTTTGAGACAGGGTCTCACTATGCAGTTCAGGCTGGCCTTGAGCTCACTTTTGCAGCCCAGGCTGGTCTCAAACTCAACAATCCTCCTGCCTCAGCCTCCCGAGTGCTGGGATTACAGGCATGAGCCACCATGCCCAGCTTCATATCCCCATGATATTTGTAGACATGCTTTTCAAAAAGTGTCAAGCAATTTAGAGAAAATACTATATATTGGAAATTGCCCCAAATAGGTGAGGGTTGTGGTGTAGCTCAGTGGTAGAGGTATGCATAAGACTGAATTCTGTTTTGAACATGGAGGTGGAGAGTAACAGAAATCACCCAGAACTGGTCGATTGTTTTTTTTTCAACGGCTTAAAAAACTTTTTAAAATTTACTTGTCTTTTTTTTTTTTTTTTTTTTTTTTTTGTACCGGGGATGGAACTTGCAACCTTGCACTTGGCAGGGAGGAACTTATGCCACTGAGCTAAATCCTCAGCCCCTTGTTTGTCATGAGGTTTTTTTTTTTTTTTTTTTTTTTTTTTAAATTTTGACGGTAGTAGAAATACAACAGAACAAAACCAGTTGAGACAATGCAGTGAAACTGGTACAGAACTTCAGAGCAGGTTGCCAGGATAACAGTTATAGGTACCATAGTATATCTCATTATCTTCACAGTAGTTGTCTAGCCAATTAGACACAGCGAAATCAAACCAAAGACAGAACATTATAAAACTAGTCGAAAGAGAATATTGAATAGAGCAAAACAACTAATCACAATAAGCATAACAGTGAGAACAACATTTGCTTTCAAATGCAAGATAGGAGAAGATAGGAGATCCCCCATATTTGCTATTTTGCATACAGTCCTCCTCCCAAGAGACGCTCAGACCTCTGTCCTCAGTTGCTAACTGGTGGGTTTGGGTGAGTTTGGAATGTTTGATTCCCAGCCTGCACACCAGTAGGCTCACAGGAGACTTTGACTGGGGGTCTCCTCGGCATTCCTCCTGGCTTATGCCGGAGGAAGGTGCTTAACAAGAAGGGGCGAATTGCATCTTTGTGCAGCCACCTGGGTTCCACCATGTCAGTGGCCGGATCTCGGGGGGGCCACTGACTAGTTCTTCTCCTAGCTCACGCCAGAGAGAGGCACTGACCAAGAGAGCAGGTATTTGTCATTTTTGTTTGTGTTTCTATACTTGATAAACTTGTGGGTTTCATCACTTAAAGGATATTTCTCCTAGTAGTCCTCTAACTTTCTTTCTAGTAATTATATACCAAATGGTATGTATGCTACAGGCTTTAATCAAGATTTTAGAAAATAGATATTTTAATCTAGTTCTCTTTTTTCCTTAGGAGCAAGACCATGGTGTTGGCAGGACAGGAACAGTGAATAGTGTTGGAAGTAATCAGTCTATTCCTAGTATGTCTATCAGTGCCAGCAGCCAAAGCAGTAGTGTTAACAGTCTTCCAGATGCCTCAGATGACAAGAGCGAGCTAGATATGATGGAGGGAGATCATACAGTGATGTCCAACAGTTCTGTCATCCATTTAAAACCGGTGAGTATTTCAACTTCTATGAAAAAATTTCAACTTTGATAAACTTCCTCATCGAGTAATTTTAAAGAAGGAGGTTTTCTTGGAAGTTTCAGATAGGTTGAATATTTTTTAAATAGCAGTAGTCTTATTAATTCTTAATTTGTACTTATATTTACAAAACTCATATTTTTGAAAATTACAAAATAATATAGAACCATTTAAAATGTTATAAAAAAAGGAATATTGTTCATTATTTAAAGGTTTTTGGAAAATAAAATGTTAAGGGCTGGAAATATAGCTCAGCAGCACAGTGCCTGCCTGGCAAGTGCGAAGTCATGAGTTCAATTCCTGGTACCAAAAAGAAAAAGAAAATGTTAAAAAAAAAAAAATAGGAAAGATACATAGGAAATTGATAATGATTATTGTTGGGGAGTAAGAGAAAGAGTTGTGATGGCATCCTAACAAAACTCTGCCTCAAAGTTTTTAAAAAGTGAAAAAACAAAGAAGGATATTACTTAGTGCAAAGTCTCTGAGTTCAGTCCCCAATACTGCCAAAAACAAAAAATGAAGTGACTTGCTTACCCATTTTTAAATCATTAAAGTAAAACTCAGTGTAATTGTGGAAAATTATAAATGTAGGCTTTAGGAAATAAGGAGTTTTGCTCCTATTCTTTGTAGTTTTTAGTGCAAAATTTAAAATTCTAATAAAAATTATTGAAGTTAAATGACTCCTCCTAGAGATTAGTAGGAATGCTTTCTTTATAACTTCATAGCTTGCAATATTATCTAAAAAGTTGTTAGACACAATGGTAAAAGGAAATAACCCAAATATCTGTCAACAGATGAATGGATAAATTGTGATATGTATATCCAGTAGGGTATTATTCAGCTGTAAAAAAGAATGAATTTCTGACACATGTTTCACTGTGGATGACTGTCAGAAACATGCTAAGTGACATAATCCAGACATAAAAGGACAAGTATTGTATAATTCAACTTAGAATGAAATATGTAGAGGAAGCAAATTAATAGGAATAGGAAGTAATTGAGAGGCTATCATGGACTGAACAGAGAGCAAAATGAAAGTTACTGTTAATGGATAGAATTTCTATTTGGGGTGATATAAAAGTTTTGAAAATAATGGTAATGGGTACACAATGTTGAGAATTCAGTTACTGCAGCTTAAAGTGACTAGAAAAGCAAAATTTTATTGTACATATTTTAACATATTAAGAATTGATGGCTATACCAAGTGTATTGCACACAACTGTAATCCCATCATTCAGGAGGCTGAGGCAGGAGGATCATTGTGAGTTCAAGACCAGCCTGGGCTACAAAGTGAGCTCAAGGCCAGCCTAAATTTCATAGCAAGACCCTGTCTCAAAAAGACAAAAAAAAAAAAATATATATATATATATATATATATGGTTATGCCCATTGCAGTGGAATACATCTATAATCCAAGTGAATTGGGAGGCTGAGGCAGAAAGTTCACAAGTTTGAAGCCAGCCTGGGCAATTTAGTGAGACCCTGTCTTAAAAATGATATGGGAATGTTGCACAGTTGGAGAACACTTTCCTAGTAGATGCAAGGTTCTGGATCCAATCCCTAATACCCCACCCCAAAGAAAAGATAGTTAAGCAACAGTATTATTCAGGCTAAAATTGCTTTTAATTTTTATATTCAAAGACAATGGAGTCAGTATAGAAAGATTATTTCTTAAATTGATTGCTACTTACTGACTTCCTCTTCGGTTGATGAACTGAGTTTAAAAAAAAACACAAATTCTATTTGCTTATTTGGTGCTGGGAATCAAACCCAGGTCCTTGCACATGCTAGACAAGCACTGTACCACTAAGCAACATCCAAGCCAAATTCTTTAGTTCTTGCAACCAGTTTTTTATTGCTTATTTTGGACAGATGGCAAAAATCTTACCAGGGGTTTAGCTCAGCAGTGTAAGTGTCTGCTTGGCAAATGCGAGGTCATGAGTTCAATCCCTGGCACCAAAAGGAAAAAAATCTTATATAGTTTTCAGCTATTGTTGTTCTAAAACCTAAAAGCCTTTAAATAATTAATTTTTATTGGTACTGTTTAAAATATTGGAGTATATGCGTCATTCCTTTTATTTTTAAATTACATCAAAGTTTTCTTGTTTTACGAGTAATATGTAAGATACTAATCTAGCCATATACATTTCCTTGTCCTGAGTATCTGTTATTCCATACACTGTGGAAATAATTTCTCATAATTCTATGTTGAAAATAAAATAATGACATTTTCCCTTTGTTGTTTTTCTTTTTAAAATTATGCACGTGAGATTTATTGAATAAATTATCTTTAAACTCTAATTTCCTTGAAAATTCAAAGTACTTATGCACCTTACATGATGTCTTCTTTTTGCTTTAGGAGGAAGAAAATTACAGAGAGGAAGGAGACTCCAGAACGAGAGCATCAGATCCACAGTCTCCACCCCAAGTATCTCGTCACAAATCACACTATCGTAACCGAGAACATTTTGCAACTATAAGGACAGCATCACTGGTTTGTACTTTCCTGAATGTAGGAAAAAAATGTTTTTTGTTTTGAACCTAGCAGTTTATCTGATTTTTTTTTTTTTGTATTTGGAATTGATTTTGCAAGATACTTATTCAATATTTAGGTACCTGTATAAGAAAGACATGCAGAGCACTCTTAGAAATATTAGACTGGTAGTATCTTCAAGACTTGTATGCAAATGATTAGTGGTTCAGAATATATTCAGTGCTTACAAGAGCTACACGATAGCTCTTGTTTTGTTTTGTTGTTTTTTGGTGCCAGGGATCAAACTTATGAACTAGCACTTGCCAGGCAGGCACTTGTGCTGCTGAACCATAACCCTTACCCCCAAGATACTTTTTATTAGGGGTGTAAAAATTTTTTTGAAAGAAAACATTTGAGCATTTAGAGTTATTAGTCATAAGGAGAGGGGAGCAGTGACTTTTCCATGTAAAAGAATTGACAGGAAAATATATTCTGTGAGATAACCAGAAAGAGGGCAGTGTTGGAAATGGCAAGTAATACTATTTGTGTGTTCTAAATGTTACTCTCATTTCCCAAATAACAATAAATTTAGATTATTTGTCCATCGCACACAATGTATAGTAGATCACTGGTAATTGTTGAGTCATTTCCCAAATAACAATAAATTTAGATTATTTGTCCATCGCACACATTGTATAGTAGATCCCTGGTAATTGTTGAGTCAGACAAGTAGGACCAAAACAGGATAAAGGGTGTTATGGATAGAAAGAAATTTCTAGGATAGTATGTGAAAAATAAATTGTTAGAATATATAACAGGGTTTTTTAAAAAGATATGAGAGTTATCTGAGCTGCCACATAATAGTATTAAATGTTCTTTTTTCTTTTTATCGGGGATCGAACTCATGACTGCCTTCTTGCAAGGCAGGTGCTTATGCTGCTGAGCTAAATCCCCAGCCCCAGTATTAAATGTTCTTGAGGAAGTCGTTTACCTATATTTTGCTTTTCTCAAATTAATTAAGGGCACTTTAAAGTTGCAGGCTTGATAAATCAGAAGTATGGAAAAGATTTATATTGTTAAACTCAGTAAATCTATTTATTACAAGTAAAATTTTCAGAGAGTGTCTTAGTTACTTTTCTCGTTGCTGAGACAGAATACCCGACACCTAAAGTTAAAGGAAGAAAGATTTATTTCACCTCAGTTTATAGAAGTTTCAGTTTGCAGTTGGCTAGCTTCAAGGCAGGGTGGCATGGCAAGAGGGTCATGGCAGAGGAGAAAAAGATTTCATTCAAGGAAGGGCAGGTAGAAATTTTTAATAGAAAATCAATTAATATGAGTATATGTTTCTTTCTTTTTTTTTTTTTTTTTTGGTGCCAGGGGGATCGAACTCACGACTTTGTATGTGCCAGGCAGACACTTATGCCACTAAGCTAAATTCCCAGCCCGAGTATATCTGTTTCTTCAGTTTTGTTTTTTGAGATGTGGTCTTGCCTAGGCTGGCCATGAATTCCTGGACTCAAGTAATGTTCCTATCTCAGCTTCCTAAGTCTCTGGGCCTACAGGAATATGCTGCTCTTCCCATACTGTTTCCCTTGCTGATCTTGGTCTACTCCATAAAATTTTAACAGCTTGTTTTATTTCTTTGAAAGAAGTCCTAGAATTTTGTTTGTTTGTTTGTTTTTTGTTTTTCCACTATGTAGTTCAGGCTGGCCTTGAACTCACTTTTTAGCCTAGGCTGGTCTCGAACTTGCAGTGATTCCCTTGCCTCAGTGTCCTGAGTGCTGGGATTATAGATGTGTGCCACGATGCCCAGCTTGTCCTAGAAATTTTAATTGGAAACTTCTAACATTGGAATCTCTTAAATCAATCACCTGATGATAGTCTAGTGATCTAAAAATGATTTTAAAAGAAAAATGTTTTGCTTTACTCTCCCTCCCTCATTATTTTCTTTTTTGTCCGTCGTTTGTCCATTGTATGTCTAGGTTACAAGGCAAATGCAAGAACATGAGCAGGATTCTGAGCTTAGAGAACAGATGTCTGGCTATAAGCGAATGAGGCGGCAACATCAAAAGCAACTGATGAGTTTGGAAAATAAACTGAAGTCTGAAATGGATGAACACCGCCTTAGATTAGACAAAGATCTTGAAACTCAGCGTAACAATTTTGCTGCAGAAATGGAGAAACTTATCAAGAAACATCAGGCTGCTATGGAAAAAGAGGTAGCAGATTCATTGTTATTAATTCTCTTCTTTTAGCTTGTTTCTGCCTCAGAATTAAGCAGTATAGGATTTTTTGAGTATTGCAGGCACCAAGTAAATTGAAGAAAGAGAAGAATTATGTAACTTAAATCAATAAATTGCTGATAGATCAGTCATCTCTCCCCAAAAAAGATTCATTTCTGTTTTTTTTCTCATTAATTTTATTTGTGGGTTTTAATTGTGAAAAATTAATATGTTTTGATAGCCAATACTGAGTCTGGGAACTAACAGACTTTGGATCATTTCCTGATAATTGATAACTTTATAGTATCACAGCAAGTAAGTTATTCAACTGTTCTAATCTTTTGGTACCCTGGTTTTCTGAGAACTTTGATAAATCTATTATTAGGTGATTAGGTCTTAAAATGTTATTCATAATTCTCTGTGTGCTTCTTAGTATCCTCCCCTTAAATTTATACTGCATTCTTATATCAGAATAGTTTAATTACTAGTCATATTTGCCAAATAGACTGTTTCTTAGTTAACACATTTCAAAATATGTTCAGCTAATTTATATTGAAATTTATCGTAGCTATCTTGTTCTCTCTCCACTCCTCAAAAAAATCAAAAACGAAAAACATAAAAAACCTCCTGCGGTTATAAGGGAATTTGACAAAAAGAAATTACAGGATAAATACTTGATTTTAAATATTTTGATAGAATATACCGATATTGGGGCTGGGGATTTAGCTCAGTGGCATAAGCACCTGCCTTGCAAGCAGGCAGTCGTGAGTTCGATCCCTGGTACTGATAAAAAGGAAAAAGACAAAAAAAAAAAAAAAAGGAATATACCGATATTTAGAATTTTTAGGGTGTTGGGTGATATTTTTAATACTTTTGGAAGAGGTAGATACCAACATAATGTATTGAGAAAGCTATTCATGAAAAAGGATATGCAATGTGATTAAAAATTTATTGAAATATACATATATATCTTGAAAATAAATTGGATGTGTGCAGCAAAACTTTGGTAATTATCTCTGGATACTAAAGTCTTGTGGATCCCCCCCCCCCCGTATTTCCTAAATATTTGAAAATGATTATGTATTGTATATAATTTAAAAACAGGTGACACTTTTAATATTTCATGTTATTTACTATATAAATTAAAGGTCAGGGATATTTCATTTTTTAACATATAATCTAGGTAAAAAGATCATGGTTTAATTTGACCGGAAGATAAATACATACTTGTTTTGGATTTTTTTGGAAAGAATATATATTTCTGTTAAATGAAAAAGGTGAAAATATTTTGGCCCAGTAAGAGATCAGATTTAAACATTATTCCATCTCACTGGTTCTCTAAAGTTTAAATGATAAAGATGCTGAGAAAAAATGGTGTTACTGATTAGGTTAGGTATTTTGTTTTGATAATATTTCTACTGATTTATTCCTAAAAACAAGGCATCCTTAGTATGTATATCAAACCTGTTTTGATTCATTTTAAATAATTTGATTCATTTTAAAATTTTTTATATAGGCTAAAGTGATGGCCAATGAGGAGAAAAAATTTCAGCAACATATTCAGGCCCAACAGAAGAAAGAATTGAATAGCTTTCTGGAGTCCCAAAAAAGAGAGTATAAACTTCGAAAAGAGCAGCTTAAGGAGGTACTTATTTTATAAAAATTTCATGCTATGTGCTTATTAATTATATTATATTCAGTGGTTTTTGCCAAGGATGGTGGCACATGCCTATAATCCCAGCACTTGGGAGGCTGAAGTAGGATTGCTACAAGTTCAAGGCCAGCCTTAACTACATAGGGAGACGGTCCTAAAAACAAACAGGGAACTCATTTGGGATCCCTTCTGTCTCTCCATGGCTATTCCTATTCCCCATTTCTTTTTCCAATAAATGTTCCAATAAAAAAATAGGGGCTGGGGATTTAGCTCAGCGGCATAAGTGCCTGCCTTGCAAGCAGGCAGTCATGAGTTCGATCCCCGGTACTGATAAAAAGGAAAAATACCAAAAAAATAAAAACTTATATTCAGTGGTTCTTAACTCATGGCACCCATTAGGATAAAACTCACTTTTGTTGGTTGTGACCATTTAATTTATGTCGGTTTATATGAAAACATGGATTATAATCAATTATTCTTAAGTGGCTCTTCTAATGGAGAGGGTCTAAAAAGACCCATTTAATGAAAATATGCATTATTTTATTTGTAACAGCTAAGTTATTCCCTAAACATAAAAATACTTGAGCTGTGAAAAACCTCATGTATTTCTTACTTTAAAAATAGGCCAACCCAGATATTATGGCACATGCCTATAATACCAGCATTCAGGAGGGTGAGGCAGGAAGGCTGTGAGTTTGAGGCCAAAATGGGTTACATAGTGAGTTTGAAGCTGTCCTACATAGCAAGATCCTATGTCCAAAAAAAACTAAGCCAGCCAGGTTCTGTGGTACACACCTGTAGTCACTTCCTGCTTACTACCCAGGAGACTTAGGTAGAACGATCACTTGAGTACAGGAATTTGAAACCCATGTAGACAGCATAGTGAGACCATGTCTCAAAAAACAAAAATATAAACCATACCTTCTTACTTCTGGTTCAGAAGATTATAATAATTTTTTATTTTGCCAATTTTAGCATAGAATAAGGTATCATAATCATATTTTCTTTAATAGATGTCTTAGTTCTCATTGCTGGGGCAAAATATCTGGTACCTGCAACTTTTAAAAAGAGATTTGTTTTGATTCACAGTTTCAGTAGGTTCTATCCATGGTTTGAGAGCTCCAAGAGAAAAAGAGCATGGCACAGGGATATAGTGATGAAATACTGCTTACGTTGTGTGATCTGAAGGCAGAGAAGGGAGAAAGAAGGTGGTGAGGGAAATAAACCCGTCTAGGTCACAACCTCAGTGATATCACCTCTAACCAGGCCTCACCTTCTAACAGCATCCTTGGCTACTGAACTCGTTTGCGGATGAAACCGATGATGAATATAATGCCCCAATAATCTAGTCACATTCCAAAAGCCTGCCTCTGAGCAAATGAGAGTTCTGAGGAACATTCTAGATCTAAACCATAATAGGAGAATATGCTATTTTTCAGTGGCTATGTGATGTCATATTTATTTGCCTCTATGTCTACTTTATGAACTTCTTTAAAAGTAGATGCAGCCTTATCTTTGAAAAAAGCCTTAATTATTCCAAGATCTTTTTCTTTTTCCTAGAGTACTAAGGATTGAACCCAAGGCCCACATACTAAAATACATCCTCAGCCCTTTTTTGCTTTTATTTTTTGAAGCAGGGTCTCACTGAGTCACTTAAATTTCCTGAACTGGGTTGAACTTGTTCTACTCCCTATCTCAGTCTACCAGAGTGCTGAAGTTAAACTTGTATACCACCACACCCAATTTGAAAGAGGATAATTAATTCAGGATAACGCAAACATAGACAAATGAGGTACCTTAATTTATCCCTCCTTATAGACTGACTGAAAAGTTTAATCCATTTAGTTATTAGCACACTGGTAAATTAATTGATCTTGACAAAATAAGAGTAATCTCTGTGACATTGAGTGTGTGCACATGCGTGAGTATAGGAATTTATAATGTTACATGTGTCCTCTTGTCTACATATTGGTGGCACAAAGACTTGCTGTATACCCTACCAAGTAAGCTTCAGTGGTAATAATTTTCCATTTGTATGGGGAATCTACAATTTTATTTCTATCACTATTATACAGATTCCAAGCTCTTTAAAAAAGAAATTAAAAATCCAAACTCTAAACTGGAACATTGAGTCTGAAAAGATTGTAAATAGGACAACTGGGCATATGACTCAGTAGTACAGCCCTTGCCTACAGTGCACAAGATCCTGAGTTCAGTCCCTAGTAAGTCCCAAAAGACTGTAAATAGGATTCCCAACTGTATATAATTAACATCTAGCGGAATGTAGTTGTGTAGTTGTGTGTTTTTTGGAAAGTGAGACTTTATACATTAATTATTTTAGGTAATATTGTAGATATAACTTGTAAGCAACCTAACAGGTTTTTTTTTTTTGAAAAACACATCTTTTATGTATATTTATGTAAAATAGAATAATGAGTCTCAGTATAGAGAAATAATTCTCATAGCAGAATCTTGGGGAATTCTCTAGCAGAAGATTTTGATAATGATAATCAGGTGATTCTGCCTGTGTGTACCCATGTCATTATTATCTCTTCTCACAGCGTGCATGCAGATACAATTACAAAGTCCTCATTTATATGCTTTTTATTTATATAATTGGATATCTTGTAAACTAAAACTGAAGAACTGATCTCTTTCTTGAATAATAAGGAAGATAAGGTATAATAGTCTCTGAAGAATTTTTTTAACTTGGGAAATGTAGCTAATTTACATATTGTATATATTGGTGATATTCTTTAGGTTGAAAATATACCATATTAGCATACAAGGGTTTGTCTCATTGAATGTATTGTCACTTATTCTTTCTTTTTTTTTTTTAATTGGTACCGGGGGTCAAACTCACGACCGCCGGCTTACAAGGCAGGTTCTTATGCCACTGAGCTAAATCCCCAGCCCCTATTGTCTCTTTTCCTTTTTTTTTTAAATCGGTACCAGGGATCAAACTCACAACCACGTACTTGCAAGGCAGGCACTTATGCCGCTGAGCTAAATCCCCAGCCCCATATTGTCACTTTTTAAAATTGGCCAATATAAATGCGTTTTCATTGAACCCATTTGTGTATTCCAAATGAAGAAAACCATTGGTTTTGATTTGCTCAGGGGTTATTAATTCTGAACATTAAATATCATTTATAATGTAGGTTTCTATTCTCCCCTGGTTTTGTTGATTTCACATTTAATTTATATTGAGTGCATCCATAATTTTGAGAAAAGCTTACTATTGAGAATGTCAAAATTTAAGAATTGAGATGATGCTTAACTGTATATTAGCCTTAATTTTAACTCACAAATAATTTTTGCCTGAAAGCACTGCCTTCTGTCTTTTGGGAGGGGAAGGTTTTAAGGAATGATGTATTTACTCTATTAAGTAGTCATTGTATGCTTTGAAGCTAGTAGCCTGAAATATAGCTGTGCAAAACTAAAAGGCATGCATGTTTTCTGGTGGTTATGCATGTATCTTTTTCTTATCCTATTTCATGAGTGATTCAATAAAGATGAAAATAGTTGGTAGTTGGGCATGGTGTGATATATCCCTATAATTCCAACTCTGAGAGACTGAGGCAGGAGGATTGCACTTTTGAACCCAGTTTAAGTAACTTAGCAAGACCTGTTTCAAAATCAAATAGGAACAAATGGTCTTGGAATACAGCTCATTGCAAAGGTTCAACCCTCAGTACAAGAAAAGAAGAAAGAAAATATGACCTGTTTTCTTCAAATTATAAACTTGACCATTAGAGATTAAAAGCACATCTCAGTTTACCATTATACCAAATGATACATTCATATAGTGAATTTTTTAAATGTATTTTGAACTGAGATGTTTTTTATGTTGCCAGGAGCTGAATGAAAATCAGAGCACCCCTAAAAAAGAAAAACAAGAGTGGCTTTCAAAGCAAAAAGAAAATATACAGCATTTCCAAGCAGAAGAAGAGGCTAACCTTCTTCGGCGTCAGAGACAATACCTGGAGCTGGAATGCCGTCGCTTCAAAAGAAGAATGTTACTTGGACGCCATAACTTGGAGCAGGACCTTGTCAGGGAGGTGTGTTTGAATGATGTGAAATTTATCAATATTATCTTTCCTGAATGTATGCTAGTAACTTCCCAATCTCAGGAATCTTGTACTGTATGTTCTTTTACCTGAATCACTTTCCCCTACATATTCAATAAGGCTTGCTTTCTCCTTTTGTTATGTTTGTACTCAACATGTCACCTCTCCAGCAATGCCTTCCTGCTTTATTTTTCCCTTTTTAAATGGTTTTTGCACTTTTTCCTTTTACACGCACACACATATGAAACCTCTCTTTGGGAAAAGAGAATGTGGTTTTTCCTGGTCTTAGTGACTGAACCCAAGGTTTTGCACTAAGCTATATATTCCCCACAGAACTGCATATACACTCATGGTAAATTGTCTAGGATGGGCTGGAACATGGCAATCCAACTGCCTCTGTCTCTCAGGGGCTAGCATTACAGATATATGCTACCATGCCCTGCCATTCAGTTCTTTATATTCCCAGTGTTTTGACACATAGTAGGCATTCAATAAAAAGTTAGTATGGCCAGGCATGGTGGTGTAGCTGTAATCCAGCCCTTGGGAGGCTGAAGCAGGAGGATCATTGGGAGTTCAAGGCAGTTTGAACTGTATGGTGAGACTCTGTCTCAAAAACAGATCAAAATAAAACTAATTAATATGAATAAAAAATATTCATATTTAAAATGAAGAAGTTAATTGGAGAAACTTTGCCTCTTTGATCTGAAGTGAGTATCATTGGATATATATTGCTGTTTAACATGTTTTATAATGATGCTAATTATTAATTGGGCATATGTTACAAAAATTCCTTGTCAGTGAAAATAGTTGTTCCCATTAAGAGGATAGTTTTAGTCTGCCTTGGTGACACATGCTTGTTATCCCAGCATTTTGGGAACTAAGGGAGGAGGATCACAAGTTTGTATCTAATTTGGGCAACTCCAGGACTTAGCAAAATCCTGTCTCAAAGGGTAGGAAGAGAATACAGTTGCATGTAAGGGCCCTGGATTACCTCCTCTGACCCAAACAAAGATACCTATGAACATAAATTTTTTTCTAATAGTTATAAACTTCAAATCAGAGTAAGTTCACAAATTTATAAATAATGAAAGAAATTTAAACTAGATTAGACCCAAAAGAAACTTAAAAGATTGATAATATCCAGTCTGTGTTAGTTACTTTTCTCATTGCTGAGACAAAATACCTGACACACAAAGTTAAAGGAGTAAAGATTTATTTTAGCTCATAGTTTGTAGAGGTTTAAGTCCATAGTTGCCTGGTTCTAAGGCTGGGCTGCCTGGCAGCAGGTCATGGCAAAGGAGAAACAGTCCGTGGCAAAGCAGCAGCAGCCAGTCTGTCTTCTTTCTGTCCTTTTATATTCCATCCAGGCTACAAACCTATTGATTAGTGCTACTCATACCCAAGATGCAGCTTCTATTATCCACACTGTTAATCCACATTCATGTACCCTAATCCAGTCACCTTCCAAATTTCCCACCTCTAACTGCATGAGATTTTGGGGTGACGTCTACATACAACCGTAACACCAGTCCTAGTAGTGACGTTGTTTTTTTTTTTTTTTAATTTCTTTTTTTTTTTGGCTTTTTCGTTTTTACCGGTACCAGGGATCGAACTCATGACTGCCTGCTTTTGAGGCAGGCGCTTATGCTGCTGAGCTAAATCCCCAGCCCCAGTAGTGACGTTGTTTAACAGACATTATTGGTAAGAGTGTAAATTGATACAACCCTTTCAGAGCATGATTCAACAGTAGCTTTTTAAGATATATGCACATATGCTTTTACTTACCAGATCTATTTCTGGAGTTCTGTTCTACAAAAAATAATATGATTATATTATGTAGCATGCATAAGATGTTTACTGAAACTGTAAAAGGAAAAAAATGGAAACAGCTCAAGTGTTGGTCACAGGTAGGGGTTGAAAAAGTGGTATCATAAAGCAGTTTTCAATGAAAGTTTTTTAAAGTCTTTACTGATTTGATCTGGATATATACGCATTATATTATTAAGTGAAGAAAGCAGATTACATGCCTGAAATGTGTATATTATTAAACCTGTATTTTTAAAAAAAAATGACTATAGCAAGGATGAGAAGCATATACACTATACTGTTGACCCCTGGGGAAAGGGTTTGTTGGGTTCAAGGGGTCAAGTTTGATTTGGACATAAGATATGTGCATATGCTTACTCTTTGATCTGAGGGAAAAAAATTTACAAAGAAAGAAATACATGTGCTAGATAGTCTGAGGACTTTTAATTCAGGAACTTATTTCTTCCTTACATTAAATCTGTGAAATAGGATGGAGAGTGTAGATCAGTACATACTAGTACACATGAGGCTCTGATGCAATCCCTAGTGATAGGCACGGGGAGAAGGTCATAAAGTCCTAGTATATACTATGCAGCCATTACTGAAGCAAAGGGTTAATTATATTCTTTTTCTGGTTATTGTTTTTCTTAGAATTTTTCAATGGCCTTGTACAAAAGTATATTAGCACATACCTGTAATCTCAGCACTTTGGAGGCTGAGGCAGGAGGATCACCATAGTTCAAGGCCAGCCTGGGCTATATAATGAATTCAAGGGCAGTATGAACTACATACTGTGACACTATTTTAAAAAACTAATATGGGTTGGGAATTCAGCTCAGTGGCACAAGTGTCTTCCTGGCAAGGTTAAGGTCGGTGAGTTCAATCTCAGGTACCCAAAACAAACAAACCAACAACAAATAACAGTAAATTATACCTTTGTCTTCTGTATTATGGATTAGGAGTTAAACAAAAGACAGACTCAAAAGGATTTGGAGCATGCCATGCTACTAAGGCAGCATGAATCCATGCAAGAATTGGAGTTTCGCCACCTCAACATAATTCAGAAAATGCGCTGTGAGTTGATCAGATTACAGCATCAGACTGAGCTCACTAACCAGCTGGAATATAATAAACGAAGAGAACGAGAACTACGGCGAAAGCATGTCATGGAAGTTCGACAACAGCCTAAAAGTTTGAAGGTATCTTTAGTGTAAACTTTTGACAAAGGGAATAGTGAAAAAGGTATCTACATAAGCAGTAACAGTCTAAGACAGCAGTAAAAGTCTAAGTACAAGTCATTAAAAAATTAAACTTTGAATATTTTTAGCATCTTTGGAGTGTTTCAGTGTGAAGTGTCTATCAGTGTAGACTTTTACTTGTATATTTCTCAAGAAAATACAAAAAAATGGCTAAACTTTTAACTGGGAAATACCAGTAACTAAGGAATCGGTGTTGTTATTTAAATAGACCCAGTGTCCATTGCTGCTGTTATATTCTACATATAAACATGTTAACCAGTTGGCTTCTCTTTATTATTCCCAGTGTGACGGTTTTAGAATCTTACTTCACTTCATGAGTTATACAAAATTTAAAAATAAATGTTTCTCGGGACTAGGGATTTAGCTCAGCAGCACAAGCGCCTGCCTTGCAAGCAGGCAGTCGTGAGTTCAATCCCTGGTACCGATAAAAACGAAAAAGAAAAAAAAAACATAAATGTTTCTCTCTTGTCTTATTCTTTTAGCTATCTGTTCTACTTCCCCTTTACCAAATTAGTAATAGTTAACAATTCCAAGAAATTTTCAAATTTTATAACCTATAATAAATATTTAAAGATTTAAATGAATCTTAAAGCAAAAAAGACTCACTACATCAATGATAGTATCTTTTTGATCTGTATATGTCTACAAATTCTTTTATTTTACTTTTTTTTTTTTTTTTTTTTTTTGGGGGGGGGACAAGATCTCGCTATGCAGTTCACACTGGCCTTGAGCTCACTTCGTAAGCTAGGCTGGTCTACTTCAGCCTCCCAAATGCTGGGATCATAGGCATGTGCCACCACATCTAGCTATTTTTGTTTCGGTTTTTTTTTTTTTTTTTTTTTTTTTTTTGGTACCAGGGATCGAACTCATGACCTCACACTTGAAAGGCAGGCACTTATGCCGCTGAGCTAAATCCTAAGCCCTGATTGTTTTGAGATAGGGTCTTGCTGTGTAGTTTAGGCTGGCTTTGAACTCAGTGTAGCCCAGGCTGGCCTCGAACTCACAGCAGGTCTTTCAGTTTCCTGAATGCTGGCATTACCGGAGTGTACCACCATGCCTGGCTAGAGTTCGCTACTGAACGATTCCTTTCCCTTGCCAACCTGACCCCTCCCCAATTTTAAAACTATTTAACATTTAAACTATGAATATGAAAGCTTTTTTCATCTTTACCCTGAATATTGCTGCAGTAAAGTTAACCTCATTCACAAAGGTAATCTGTGTCAAAATCTAGAATCTACAAAACACAGGTATTCTTAGTGCCTACCCACATTCAAACAAGCTGTTTTGAACAAAATGTAAAATCAAAGTTAAAGTGCTTTAACCTTCCCATGTGAACCTAATTAAAATTTTACTTTGTTGTGTCTTTAAAACAGTGAAGTTCCCAGGCATGGTGGCACATGCCTGTGATCACAGTACTGGGATAAGAGTGTAACAAGATAAAGTCTAACTTGGGCAGCTTTGAGACCCAGTCTTAAAATTTTAAAAAGGGCTGGGGATGAAGCTTAATGTCTAAGCCTTGGATTCAATCCCTAGTGCCACAGAAACAAAACAAACATATCATTTGCGGAGTCAGTTATGTTGACTGCCAACATAATCTTACATGGTCAATACTTAGAAAACTAGGATTTATAAAAATTTTTAGATTTCTTTTGTTTATAGTGGAGGGGGATATATAATCATTTGGCTATAAGCTAATTTCCCACCAAAGATTTTTAAAATAACATGTCTGTGAAATTAATTATAGTTTTAAAGCTAGCAGCACTCAGAAGGCTTATTATAAGCCAAACTGAAGGCTTATTAGTTTTCTCTAATAATACACAAATCTGATATAATATATTGTTCTTTGACTTTAACCCTTTCTGTGTCCTTTTTTGAGGTCTTTTTAGTTTGAAAATTTGTAAAAAGTAATCTGGTGTTTTCAGATACTACATGAAATGGGAGGAAAAAACTGTTTCACAATTTTAGACTGTAAAAAGAATACCTCTTTCCCATGACAAATGTGTTCAAAGTTTTCCTCTAGTAGGAAATTAAAATCACTTTCTTTTTTATATTTATTTACTACTTGGGAAAAAGTCATTATATTGAGCATCAAATCACCCCACTTGTATTTACTGAAGTAATAGTGGCCGCATTCCACTTCTGTAAGACATTAAATTGGAGAAGAAAAGACTTCAGTTTGGCACTTGTATATAATGTAGGTTTTGTGGGGTAGGGGAGCTGTTTCTATGGAATTAGTTTGGTAAAAATCAACTCTGTCATTCTTCAGGTGCTATCCATATGATCATTTTGTCAGTATTATATGAAGAGAAATAACTTACATTCGTTTTATTTTTACTGGACTGTGGTTATAAGCATTAATCTTAACCCTTGCTGAAAATTTTTCCAAGTTGTTTTTTTTTTTTTTGTAAGAATACAGAATATTATAAAGAGACAGAGGATAATATCCATATTTCACTATCCCATTTCTCTGGAATCACTTGAAAGAACTTTATTAACCAAGAACACTATTTTTTTTTTTTTTTGTCTTTTTCGTTTTTATCGGTACCAGGGATTGAACTCACGACTGCCTGCTTGCAAGGCAGGCGCTTATGCCGCTGAGCTAAATCCCCAGCCCCCAAGAACAGTATTTAAGAGTTGCACTGGGCTGGAGATTTAGCTCAGCAGCATAAGCGCCTGTCTGGCAAGCGCGAGGTTGTGAATTGGATCCCCGGTACCAACAAAAAGAAAAAAGAAAAGAAAACCAAGAATAGCACTATCAAGCATTGCTAATAAGAGTAATTTCTGGCTAGTTTATTTCTTCACCTCTCAATAAAAGCACATAAATAGGACCTGTGTCCTCAGTTGGTTAAAAATATGGAACTATTTATATTAATGAAATACTGTAGCAGTATAGGTACTTTATCCTAGACAAATCTGTACGTTTCATCATATATGCATTTGTTTCATGTATCCTGAGTCAACCAGTTGATCAAGTATTTATATTAGGCCTGGTAGGGTAGCATTTGCCTGTAATGCCAGCATCTCAGGAGGCTGAGGCTGGAGAATTACTGTGAGTTTGAGGCCAGCCTGAGCTACAGACTGAGATCTTTTGCCACCCCCCCAAAGTATTTATATTAAAGTAAAATAACTTCAACTCTAGATTCTTGGTAGTACATTAATATATTCTTATATAGGTTCAACCAGTATATCTTACAGAAGTATGTAGTATTAAAACTTTTTAAAAATCTGAGTTCTTTAAAAAAAGGTGAAGCCTTCTGCCTCTAAACTCAAGATTATTTTATTTCAGAAATGTTTATATAGTGTCACCACCCCAAAAAGAGGATTGCGCTTTCTGTATGCCATAATTTTGTTCACCTTTGAAAAATTTGTTAACTTACTTTCGGTTTTACTTGTGATATTAAAGAATAAACTATTAGTAAATATATTTCTACCTAGTTTATTCTCTTAAGGAAAAAATAGAATAACAACATTAGTTACTAATGTAGACTTCCAAATCAATCTCAAGTTTGATAGGTTATACAAAAAGTAGAGTCTGTTGTACATTATATAGTTGAAGTTAAAATTGTTATTAAAATAAACTGGAGTAAAATGTTTCAGGTAAAGAATCAAATAAGTTTTATTTTCTGCCTGAGATAGCTGATAAAATTTGCTTTCCCAATCAAGTGATTTCAGTATATTATACTTAATTCATAAGAATGTATTTGATTTTTGGCATGAATATATATACATAGTAATTAAAATAAATATAAAATTTTTTTAAAATATAAATTTAAAGAAAAATTTTTTTTCAAAATAAATTTTAAAGCCGAGTGTGGTGGCACACACCTGTAATCCCAGAACTCAGGAGATTGAGGTAGGAGAATTGTTGCAAATTGGAGATCAACCTGGGTTACAAAGTGAGCTCAAGGCCAGCCTGAACTACATAGTAAGATCCTGTCTCAAAAAGCCAATAAATAAATAAATAAATAGGTATTTATGCTTAAGTCTGTTTGAGTTTTCTGATAAATTAGAGATTTTGTTGTAAAATTGCATAGAATCCAGTAGTTTGGCTTGATTGCTGCATACAAAAATACTTGCAACTTTACCATCTGACCTTACAGGTTTCTCTTTCACTTTTTTATCTTCCTTTATTTGTATTTTAAGTATAAGATATACCAAATACTGTGTGGTAAATTTTACATATACATCTGTGGTTTTTTTCTTCTCAGTCTAAAGAACTCCAAATAAAAAAGCAGTTTCAGGATACCTGCAAAATCCAAACCAGGCAATATAAAGCATTAAGAAATCACCTACTGGAGACCACACCAAAGAGTGAACATAAGGCTGTTCTGAAAAGGCTCAAGGAGGAGCAGACCCGGAAGTTAGCCATCCTGGCTGAGCAGTATGATCACAGCATTAATGAAATGCTCTCTACACAGGCTGTAAGTTTACTGTTTTGGCAAAACAAATCTAGTGCCCCTTTATTTCTGCCACCTGAATGAAATTCCAGCAAGTAAAATATTAATTGGAAGCCAGGAGTGATAGCACTGCCTGTAATCCCAGCTACTTGACTGAGGCAGGAAGATCCTAAATTGGAGGCCAACCTAGACAATTTAGCAAGCCCTGTCTCAAAATTTTAAAAAAGGGGTAGGAGCCCTCAGTGGCCTAGCATGGTCAAGGCCCTGGATTCAATTCTTAGTGTAAATAAATGGTAGAAATGATAGCTCTTTGAAACTAGGGAACTAGTGGTGGTCCATATTCTTCCTACTGTCAGTGTTACTTGGAAATGTCATAATGCATATAAAATGAGGTTTTAAGTGGGCCTCTTGTAGGAATAGATCCCAACAACTTACCAACATTAAAACAGGAGCTTCGGTAAACTGTAGCCAAAGAGGAGTAGTATAAGTCTAAGATATGGTGGCACATGCTCATAATCTCAGCATGCTGGGAGGCTAAAACGGGAGGACTGCCAATTTCAGGCCCAGCTGGACAATTTAGTGGAAACCTTATCTCAAAATTAAAAATAAAAAGGGTTGGGCATGTGAAGTATCTTAGTGCAAAAATCAAAGGTGATAGATTCAATCCCCAGTGCTGAGGTAGGGGTGTGTACTGTATAGTGTTAGGAATCAAATGGTTATGTTTGAGTGCATGTATGAATATTTTAAGCTTTGCAGACCAGGAAGCAAAATTGAGGATGTTATGTGATTATTTATATAATTGTGTAAAATGTAACCATTTCAAAATGTTAAAAGCATTCTTAGCTAGTAGGCTATAACAAAACAAGGGCCTTCTAGGATTTGGTTTATAAACTGCAGTTTGCTAATCTCTCTTCTATAGCTGTTTCAACTGAGGAAGAAAAAGAAACTTTTATATCATCTAAGGTTTCTCTTAAGAAAAATGTAGTTATTCAGGCATCCTCCAAGTAGCTTATGATAGCTTTATCTTCATAATGCCATCACTGGTTATTGTCCCTTTTATTTTCAGGGATGTTTATTCCAAGATGCAAGAAAGAACAATTGTGTCGCCTAGAAAACAATAGTCTGTCTCTTGTTGTTCTTCCTTGTTTCCATACTTATTGAGTAGATAGCTCACAGTAGGCTATATGTTTTCTTTCTGTCTCAGCTGCGTTTGGATGAAGCACAGGAAGCAGAGTGCCAGGTTTTGAAGATGCAGCTGCAGCAAGAATTGGAACTGTTGAATGCATATCAGAGCAAAATCAAAATGCAAGCTGAGGCACAACATGATCGAGAGCTTCGGGAGCTTGAACAGAGGGTCTCCCTCCGCAGGGCACTCTTAGAACAAAAGGTATACATAATGAAAGGAAAATGATTGTTGAAGTACTTGGTTTTATCAAAAGCATTTTGTAGATACATTCTTATATTGACAGAGGTTATATTTCTTTCACAGTACCGTATTTTCTTAATTCTAGTTTGGTAGTGGGATTTTTTTGGTCTTTAAAATTATTAATTCACTAGTGAATCTTATAATTAATGAGTCTTAAAGATACATAATTAAGTAGTGATTAACAGAGAAAAATATGAGAACATGTGACAATAATTGAATTGTGAGAGTAGGAATCGGGCTCCATCTTCCTCATTTTTGTGTATTTGGCCCTATCTAACAAAAACTTGAAAAGTGAAAAACAACTACGGTAGTTGCCTGGGAGAGGCAGAGACAAAGGATAAGGAATATATACTTTACTCATACACCTTGTCCTGGAATGTACAACAGATTGGTGGATGATTACTAAGGGGCAGAAGGTAAAACTAGCTTTACAAAGGTAAAGTCAAGCTGAAAAATGTTACATTTGGATACATCTTTACTACTTCTGACTTATTTTTTGTTGGATATATTAGAGAATAAGGGTAGGATATCCCGAAATTCAGATCCATCCTTTAGTGTACTAAGAAGTGTGTATATGTATGTTCTGAAGAAACGGTGGTAGAACATTTTGACAGGTACAAAGAAGTAAGGCAGTCATTGTGAGAAATGATAGCATATGAGTTGTATCCAGGATTCAGAACTGTATCCAAAATTCTTGAGTTGTAAGTTCCCAACAGCTGATACAGAGTCTCAGGTCCTTTGGCTATTATTTTTATTTTGTTTTGTTTTGTTTTTTTTGGATACCGGAAATTGAACTCATGACCTTGCACCTGCCAGGCAGGCGCTTATGCCACTGAGCTAAATCCCCAGCTCTAGGCTATTGTTTTTAAATTTTGCCTATTGATCTCCCTAAAGTTGTCATTGTTTCTAAACCATAGGGCCTGGTGTCTGTCTGTCTGTCTGTCTCCCTCTCTCTCTTTCTATCTATTTTTAAAGATAGGTTTTCACTGAACTGCTAAGTTGCTCAGGCTAATTTCAAACTTGCAGCCCCTCTGCCTCAGCCTCTCAGAGTGATGGCATTACAGGCATGTGCCACCAAGCCAGCTTGCTTACTTGCTTTCTTACTTTTTTCTTAAATCTGTTTTTAAGTGATACACAGAAACATAAAAATTGTACAAAGATTCTTCTACTTTTGTACTGGCTTCTTTTAAGGTACTTGGCCTCTAAAAATTATCTCAGTGATGTTCTTTAGCCAAGGTGAGAAGGGTAGAAACATAAATTTTGAAAAATCTTACTTGTCCCATATGTCTACTTCTAGCTTTCATGCTTAAGCTTTTGTCTCTCATGCTTACCACTAAGAGAAAAATTCTTTGTAGTATTTCACAAATAGTGTTGTGAAAGAAATAATGGGTAGGGCTAGAGATTTAGCTCAGCGGCATAAGCGCCTGCCTGGCAAGTGTGAGGTTGTGAGTTCAATCTGGTACAAAAAAGAAAGAAAGAAAGAATAGGTATTATTAAATTATGATTGTGTCTGAGTGTGGTGGTACCTGCCTGTAATCCAAGAAAGCATTCTAGGAGATTTGAGATAGGTGAATCTCAGGTTACAACTTAGTTAAGACCTTGTCTCAAAAAAAGAAAAAAAAATGCTGAGGACGTAGCTCAGTGAAAAGGCCCTGGTTTGATCCTCAGCACTAATAGATGATTGATACATAGATAGATATACCTACATACATAGAATGAGTATTATGGATGGTAGGTAAGTTGGTAGATAATGTACAATATTGTAGTTGTAATTTTAGCTCCACATAGTGGTTTATAATTAGCATGTTAGGCATAACCTTCAATATATGAAACAAAGCCTATCTGTTATACAAACTGTAGTACAATGTGGACATAAAAACTAGTTCTTTTGAAGATGCAGTGGCACCATATACATTGCTAATACATCTTAGAACTAGTAAGTTAGAGGTGTATATTAAGACTGAAATGTTAAGCATTTAAAATTTTGAGAAGTTATTCCAGAGAAAAATTAAAGTATAGGGAAAACACACACACACACGTGTGTGTGTGTGTATGTATTACATATTTTATAGCAGCTTCAAGATAACCTAACCATCTAAATTAAAATAATAATTAAGTAAATAGGACCAAGTTACCAATAAAGTCTTTTTTCCCCTTTCCAGTACTAGAGATCAAATTCAGAGCTTTGCACTGAGCTATACTGTATTCCCAACTCCACTAATAAAATCTTATTCAGTCATTTTAACAGTGACTATAAAACAAGAATGTATTAACATGGGAAAATGTTTATGATATTTGAATAAAATGGAAAAGTCAAATTATACTTATTGAAATACTGTTAGTAGTGGTTATATTTATATGATAAGTTGATTCCTGTTTTGTTTTGTTTTATGAGACAGGGTCTTGCTACGTAATTTAAGCTGGCCTTGAACTCACTGTATACCCCAGGCTGTCCTCTTCTTTTTTTTTTGTTTTTTGTTGTTGTTGTTGTTGTTGTTGGTACCAGGGATCGAACTCACAACTGCCTACTTGCAAGGCAGGTGCTTATGCTGCTGAGCTAAACCCCCAGACCCACCCCAAGCTGTTCTTATACTCACAGCAATCCTTCTGCCTCAGCCTCCCAACTACTAGGACTATAGCCATGAGCCACCATGCCAGGCCCATTTTTCTTTTTTCAAATATAATTTATATCACTTTTATAATAGAAACATATATAAGGTTATTTAGTATGGGGCTGGGGATTTAGCTCAGCGGCGTAAGCACCTGCCTTGCAAGCAGGCGGTTGTGAGTTCGATCCCTGGTACCGATAAAAATGAAAAAGACAATTAAAAAAAAAGATTATTTAGTATTTACTCTTTTTTTTTTTTTTTTTGTCTTTTTCGTTTTTATCGTACCAGGGATCGAACTCACGACTGCCTGTTTGCAAGGCAGGCGCTTACGCTGCTGAGCTAAATCCCCGGCCCCTGATTATTTAGTATTTAAAAGAATAAAAGAAATGATTCATGGTGGTGCCCTCCTATAATCCCAGTACTCTGGGAGGCTGACGTGGGAAGATTGCAAGTTCAAGTCCCATCTGGAGAGTTGAACAACTTAGTGAAGCCTTGTCTCAAAAAGAGTTTGGGATATAGCTCAGTGAGAAACCGGTGGGTTCAGTGCCTAGTACCAAATAAACAAACAGTGAGTTAATCTATAAAGCTTTAAGGTGTTAGTTGGTTTATAGAGCTATTTGCATTTCAAGTGAAGTGTATGGCAGTCTGAGGTTAATTGGAAATTACCAAGACTGGACACTTCTTTACAAAAACTGAAAAATTATATGCAAGAGTTTTACTCAGTGGTAGAACATGTGCTTAACATGTATAAAGCCCAACCCCGGGGGAGGGGAGAACTTCACTAAATGCTAATATTTTCTGCATTTTTGTACATACTGGTTACACAGATAAGAAACAGTTAAACAGTTATGTAAAAATAAGTAGAAGTATGAAAGAGTGAATTGTTGTTGCTTTAGGTTGAGACACCAACAAAACAGACTATTTGTACATGAAGTCTTGAGTTTTGGGGTGTGTGTGTGCACGTGTGATTTTGTGGGACAGATTTGATAGTATATAGTTTAGGAAGACCTTGAACTCACTATTTAGCCTTGGCTGGTCTCAGAATTGTGGTGATCTTCCTGCTCCAACCTCCCAAGTGCTGATATTGTGGACATGTGCTACCACACCCAAACCTCAATTTTTTTTTTTTTTTTAAGATTGTTGGAAATAAAACCCAGAGCCTTGTACATGCTAGGTGTAAATATCACTGAGCTTGACCCACAGCCCATAAAGTTTTATTTCAACTTTTCTTATCTCTCATTTACATTAAATTTTCCGCTAGTTGTAATAGTAAATGTTAAATTTCATGCATCTTTTACACACATGAAAAGTAATATAGATAGCCTTTTAAAAAAATCTTCTCTTTCACTTTTCTCTCAGCATTTTGCTTAATAGTAACATCTTGGTTAATAGTGTCTAAGAATTAAAAATTAAAACACCTTACCAGACCTTTCTTTTTGTATTCTCACAGAAAGATCATTAGGAGAAAACCTGTTGAAAGTTTAATTATGGGAACTCTATTGGCTAAGTGAAATCACTTTTCTATTTTACATTAATAATATGCTTTTTAAAACCAGACGTGGTGGCATGCACCTGTAATCCCAACACTCAGGAGGCTGATGCAGAAGGATTGTTGCAAGTTCAAGACCAGTCTGGCCTACAAAGTGAACCTCAGGCCAGTTTGAATAGTATAATGAGACCCTGTCTTAAAAAGCCTAAAAAAATAAATAAATGTAATAATATGCTTTAAAAGAAGTAGGATTTTTAATGTATCCTATCATAAATCTTAGGTTGGAGGAGGCTTTTTTTGTTTGCACTGCGGGTTGAACCCAGAGCCTCACACATGCTAGGCAAAGGTTCTGACTGACCTACATTTGTTTGCCCTTTTTTAACATTTTTTGGTTGGTTGGTTTTTGGATATTGTATGTTTTGAGACAAAGTCTTGCTAAGTTGCCTAGCTTAGGCACAAACTCTTGATCCTCCTGCCTCAGCCTCCCAAAGTGCTAGAATTATAGGCATGTGTCACAATATCTGGCTTTACATTTTACGTAATTGAAAAACTCTTATCACACACAGGTTTCTCAGTCCTTGGGTTTTAGTCCCAGTGGGGGAGTGCTCCTTTTTTAACATGACCAAACAGCAGCAAACAAAATTGAAACAATGTTTATTGAATAAAATATTAGTATTAATATATTTAAATTTATCATGAGTTATTCAAGTCATTTATATTCTCACCACATTACCATCATTTATTGTATCTTGAATTAAATATTTTTAGTGCATGGACTTAGTGCGTAAAATACTTAAAAGAAAAACTAAAATTCTTGATTCCTTAAAGATATGTAGATTTTCTATATGATTTCTTTTATTTTTTCCCAGTACTGGGAATTGAACCAAGAACTCAACTATATCCCCAGACCTTTTTAAAAGAATTGAGAGACGTTCTCGCCAGGTCACTAAGTTGCCCAAAGTGAGCTCAAACTTAACAATTCTTTTGCTTCTACCTCCCAGAGTACTGGGATTATAGGTTCCCAGTTCTTTTATTTTTTTTATTTGAGAGGATCTAATAGAGTCACTAAGTTACCTTAGGCCCCAGCCTTGACCTTTCAATGCTTCTGCCTTAGTCTCCTGAGTAGCTGGAATTGCAGGTGTGTACTACTATGCCCCACCAAATTTATATTTTATAGAGGTAGGAAGTTATTTTACAGATACTTTTCTCTTCCCCGTTACCCTTTCTTTCCTCTTCCCCTTCCCTATATTTCTATGGTGCTAGGAATTGAATTTCAGACTTGATACATGCTAGGCCAATGGTCTCACACTGAGCCATACTTCCAGACTATGATTTTTAGGGCTGGGAATTTAGCTCAGTTGTGTTAGCGCTTGTCCTACAAGCGTGCAGTCATGAGTTCAATCCCCAATACCAAACAAAACAAAACAGACTATGATTTTTATTATTTGCCAAAGTTTAAAATATAAGGATGTATAACTAAAGATTTGTTCTTAATCCTACCATTGAGAAATCACCTTGGTTAATAATTTAGTCTTTGCCTCAGAATAATTCATGTTGAATTTGTCTTCCTTCAACTTTCATGTAAAATGCCTTATCTAAGATAGTTTTAGAATATTTTTATATATAGAACACTAGTTTTTAAACTCTTCTTACTCCAATCCATTCTGACCTGTTGATACTTCCCAAACACCATATCTCCAGACCTTTATGTGTGTTTCCTGTGATAGAAATGTCTTTTCCCCACCTTGTGTTACAGATAAATTTGTAATCTTTCATTTATTATTTATTTTTTGTTTTTTTTAGACATAATCTCTTGATAAAGGCAGTTCAGGCTGACCTTGAACTCATGACAGTACTCCTGTTTTAGCCTCTCAGGTGTTAGGATTACAGGCTACAGGCATATGCCACCATGCCCAACTCTTCTTATCTTTTAAAATCTGATCTATATACCACCTTCTTTAAGTAGATTTATTTCCTTTCTCCCCTATAGAGTGAATCATTCCATGCTTTACCTATAAATCTGTTGTTACATCTTGTGATATTCTAAAGCAGTTTCTAATTGTGTGTATTAGGCATGCTAAATCAAAGGATATACAAAAGGTACTTGTATAAACTTGACAAAAACTAAACATATTTGTTGCACTAGGTTTCTGCAAAGTAATGACTATTGATGTAAGTCTTCAAGTGCCTTAAAACCTGATATGGTCATAATTTGGTACTCTACTGCTTTGAAACTTAATGAATTTGTTACTTGACACACTCATATGAAAATTTTGTGCTGGTATTCATTTTTTGTTTGGTGCCCAACATGCAAGCCAGAACTTGTGAGTGTCCATTGCTTTGTGACTCACTGTCCTTTTCAACCAAAAGAATTTGTTCAGTACTCATTCTTTTTGGTACTAATTAAATCTCCCAGAACCAATTAATGGCAAACACTTTAGGGTGGGGTTGTAGCTCAATGGGAGAACACCTCTTTAGCCTTTCGGAGGTCCTGGGCTTAATACCTAACACCAAAAAACAAAACAAAATGATAATTGATGCATCTTTACATAAGCTTTTATTGATGCATATTAATAATCGAAAATAATGAGGTTTATATTGGTACATGCATATATTTTGATTATTTTCATCCCTGTTGGCTCCCTCTTTCTTTCTTCCCCATCCCTCTAATCCCTACAAAATCAAAGCATTTTACCACAGAAAACTTCAATAATCACAAAAGTAGGACTACTAGTACAAGGAAATCCCTAAGTACTCGTCATCCAGCTTCAACAATTAGTATTTTATAGTTTTTTGTTTTGTTTTGTTTTTGTCTTTTTCAGACAGGGCTTTTCTTTGCAATTCAGGCTGGCCTTGAACTCATTGCACTCCTTCTGCCTCCACCTCCCAAGTGCTGGGATTATAGGCATGCGCCATCATGGCTGGCCTTTTTACAAATTTTTTTTTTCTCACTCAACATCTTTTGAGGGGATAGTGTTTAAGGTTTTGTTTGGTTTTGTCTAGTTGTTTTTTTTTTTTTTTTTTTTGGTCTTTTTTGAGACATGGTCTTGCTATGCAGTTCAGGCTGACCTTGAGCTCACTTTGTAGCCCAAGCTAGTCTTGAACTTGCAGTGATCCTCCTGACTCAGCCTCCCAAGTGCTGTTGTCTAGGATTTTAAAAAATATTCCACTATAGTATAATTTCACTCTTAAATAGAGATGAGATGTTTTGATCTTATATTGTGGTTATGTTAAGCACATTTCCATTGTGGCATCTAACAAAATTAGTATTATTTCTGTTTTATTTTATGTCTTAATTTTCCCATTATTTAAAAAAAAGTCTTCTTCATAATTGGTTTATTTGGATTAAGACCCAAACAAGATCCATACATCACATTTGGTTAACTGCCTTTCAAGTTTTAATGTATTAAAAAAAAAAAGTTTTAGTCTATAATAGTTCTCCCCATCTCAGTTTTTAAATTGTGGATCGTAGAAGTATCTAAATTCTAGATTTGACTGATTGCATTCTCACAATGTCATTTAGTATTTTCCTTGTCCTATACTTAATATATCCTATGAACTGGTGGTTAGATCAAAAGACAGAATTAGATTTAGGTTCATTTTCTTTTTCCTATAAAGTTTTCACAAGGACTTTTCAGAATGGCTACCATGTACTTTTTTATTAGTCATATTAAGAAATATATAATATCTAGTCCCACTTTTAGGTTATATTTGATATTAATCAGATTCAGATATTATCAATCTGGTCATTCAGTAAAAAGTTCAAGTTTTTAAAAACTGCTTTTATAGCCAGGGGTTTAGCTCAGTAGCGTAAGTGCCTGCTTGGCAAACACGAAGTCTTGAGTTCGATCCTCAGTACAAAAAAAAAGCTTTTATTAGGGGCTGGGGATTTAGCTCAGCGGCATAAGCGCCTGCCTTGCAAGCAGGCAGCCGTGAGTTCTATCCCTGGTACCGATAAAAACAAAAAAGAAAAAAAAAGAAATAGCAGTTATCCATGATTCCCACAGTATATCTCTTGATTTTTAAATATACAGCCATAAAATAGCCACTTCAAAATTGAGTAATCATTACTTCCTTAATTTATATATAGACTTTTTTTATTTTAAAGAGGGTAAAACTAAACATAACAAAACAGAACAAAGTAGATCAGAAGAAAACAATGTGGCACAGATTTCAAAGCAAGATAATAGGATATCCACTAGGCTACCATAATATCTTTTTGTTTTCTTCCAAATATATATGTAGACTTTTAAAAAGTAAATTGGCTTTTCTTTTGCTTTCCTTCCCTAATCATCAACAGATTGAAGAAGAGATGTTGGCTTTGCAGAATGAACGCACAGAACGAATACGAAGCCTACTGGAGCGTCAAGCCAGAGAAATTGAAGCTTTTGACTCTGAAAGCATGAGACTAGGTTTTAGTAACATGGTCCTTTCTAATCTTTCCCCTGAAGCATTCAGCCACAGCTACCCAGGAGCTTCTGGTTGGTCTCACAATCCTGCTGGGGGTCCAGGACCTCACTGGGGTCATCCCATGGGTGGCCCGCCACAAGCTTGGGGCCATCCAATGCAAGGTGGACCCCAACCATGGGGTCACCCCTCGGGGCCAATGCAAGGGGTACCTCGAGGTAGCAGTATAGGAGTCCGCAATAGCCCCCAGGCTCTGAGGCGGACAGCTTCTGGGGGACGGACGGAGCAGGGCATGAGCAGAAGCACGAGTGTCACTTCACAAATATCCAATGGGTCACACATGTCTTATACATAACTTAATAATTGAAAGTGGCAATTCCGCTGGAGCTGTCTGCCAAAAGAAACTGCCTACAGACATCATCACAGCAGCCTCCTCACTTGGGTACTACAGTGTGGAAGCTGATTGCATAATGGTATATTTTATTCATTTTTGTAAAGTGTTCCATTTTGTGTTTACTAATTGGGATGTCATAGTATTTGGCTGCCGGGTTTGATTTTGGGGGGGGGGGATTTTGAAAAGGGGAGTGGATATGAAATATTTCATGCATGTAATAAAATGAAATTGGCTATATAGAAGGGATATTTTCTGAATACTGCAAAAATAAAATGCAGCATAAGTGGCTTGAATCATCGCATAGGGTATCATATCTAAGAAGTTTGTGAGAAAATCTAAAGCTGTCCTCCATATTCAAAATTTCTTCTGAGCCACTGACAGCAGGCTGCATATGCTGAAACAAGTTATTATAGGAGTACACCTGCACCTTCTTACTAGTGTATTTTCTTTTTTAAATTGGTCTGACTTCTCAGCCTCATTTGGATTAAAAAAGCAGAAATCTTTGAACACTAAAGGATTGTACTGACCTTTTCAGATGGTAAAAAACAACTTAATTCTTCTTCTGAATGCTTCCTAAGTTTGTCAGTGACTTTTTTTCCAGTCAGTTGTGCCTTCTTTGTGTCACAGCAAGATGGAATTGCTTAAGGAGATCACAAGCTGTATAGGGATTGCATTTACTAACCTGTGAGCCTTTAAAGGGGGAGACCAGCAGAGTGAGAGGGGCCCCTGAAAGTTCATGTGATAGTTATGTCCAGTGGCAGAGTGAGGAGATGAAGTATATATATATCCCGACATTTGTTGCTTATTACTGTGATATTTCATTCTAGCTAAGCTCTAAAAGTCCTAACATCCCAAACAGTACTTTTACTTTGTACAGAAGCAGACATAAAGCCAATACAAATCAAATGCCAGAGGTGTTTGAATGATGCCATATTTACAAACTGCCATTTATGGGAATTCTCGTCACACTACATAGACATAATTTGACTACCCACTTTTGGCTTATGGAATTCCTGTTTACAAGTAGATTAGTCAGTTATTTAAATGTTTAGTTGCCATAGTGAACCAGGAGCCTCTGAGCCAATGACTACCAGCTGCTGACTAATTCTCATCACCACTGTAGATTTTACTGCATCTGCAGATCCTCTGTTTTATAATTGCTATTTTTGTTGCTGCAGTACTTTACACACTTCCAGTTCATTGAGACTTAGTGACTATTTGGGATCATGTTAACATCACACAATAGGAAACACCACTCCAGAAGTCTCAAGCCTCAGTGCTAAAATACTACTGAAAAGGAACTAGGAAGTTTGGCAAATGAAAAAACAAAAAACAAAAAAAAAGTAAGTTATAGTGGTTAGGGAATCTCTTGAGAAAACCTAACATATTTGGGGGGTGGGGCATGTTTTGTTTTTTGTTTGTTTTGTTTTATAATGAAGGATCAACCCAATGTTGAAAGTCAGATGTTACTTGGTATTTCCATTGTGTGTGTGGAAGTTGAGTTGAAAGTGGGTGAGGAGCTGTGAATATGACTTGAATAAAAAAAAAATGTCCTCTTCAGTGACAGATCAGAGTTTCTTACAAGTTATTGTCCTGCCCCTTCCCTGCTCCCTGGTTGTCTTGAAGAACACTTGCTGCTAACTCTGGATCCTGCTTTTCATGTACTCAGAGGGCTCCAAGATAGAACTCTCCAAGTCCCTCACAGTAATATTCTTCCCCTAGACCAAACTAATGACCAAATTTTAGAATCTATCACTTGGTTTTGTCAACCAAATTTTTAAGTTTCCTTAGTTACCGTGTGTCAGCCCAGTCTCCATGAAGCCTCCACTTTAGGAATTTCTGACATTGATTTGAAGGTAACTATAAGTAAAATTAATGTATTAATATAAATCCTTTAAAAACCAAGATCAAAATAGAATTCATACATTCTTCTAGCCAGTGTTTCGAGTAGCATTCTGTTGTATTGTCTTCTTGACCATGCTCCAGATCACCAGTTTTTAGGTAAAAATGACATATATTTGTCACAGCTGATGAAAAGGCTTTTAGTTTTCTTTTATCTGCATTCAACTGTTACACAGTGTTTTAGTGAGAAATCTATTTGGAGGAAAATTATAAGAACTTTAGAACTTAATAAAGTATCCAGAAATGCAAGACTTTTAAATACCTTTAAAAGCATTCTTCAGAGTTCTGGCCCCTCTCTAGTACTGGAGAGGTAGAATAAGGAATTAGATAAGATTTGCTTACAAAACCTTTTGCAAACTCACACTACCAGTGATACATTTTAAAATCCACTTTTGAGCTTCAGTTAGGCTTTAACAAGTTCATGTCGTATATAATTAAAAAAGCATAATTGAATACTGACTCCAAATGTGTGTCCACTAAGGTTTTGTATCTAATTTGTGTGATAGCTATTTTGACATGTAGGTCATCACTATATCTGGATTATATCATTAATTTTAATTAAAATATATGTAGTTTGCAAAACTTATTCAAATTAATTGGTTTTTTTGTGTTTGTGGGATATTAACTTCTGGTGAATCTCATACATGATAGGAATCATCATAGAGTAAAACTGGTAGGAAAATTTGGAGGGTTTTAAAATACCCTTAAGAAAGAACAAGCACTTTTTTGAATCTGTGTGCAAATGTCAAAATTTAATCAAACTAACACTACCTCTTCCCTGGTGTTGGTATTCATCATATACGTGTTTAAGAAAATTAAAAGTATGGGAGATTGTGTAGCATATCAGAAACTGTAAATGCTATGTCTGGTGTCCAGAACCTGGCAATGAAAAGTTACTTGTGCTTGCCCTTCTCCGTGTGTGTGTGTGTGTGTGTGTGTGTGTGTGTGTGTGTGTGAGCATTTTAAAAATGCAAAGCCTATGTTGAAACATTTTATTCCTAATCAGATTTTCTTCCCTTTGCACATTTTTTTCTTTTTAAAAGACAGTTCTAACTCCAAATTAGAGTATCTGAAAGCATTTTCACTGTGTAGATGTTAGCGTAAGAATGTGTTTATATTATTTTTATCAGAGCTGACATTCTTTTTAGCCATTTCTATACATAGAGATGACTAGTCCTGCATTTGAAGTCACACCTACAGGTATAATACACTTAAGTAGTTTGAACTTACCATAGCCATGATTTTCAACTGCCTGGATATAGGCAAACACCATTCAAAACACTAAGGACACCTTCCTGGACACTCCCATTTCTACATTTTTTTCTCAAACCCCACCCCTCTTTTTCAAAATTTGAAAATTCTGTATCTTTTTTTAGGCCATAAGACAGACTTTAGTAATTTTCCTCTTTTGTAGGTACTAAAGGTCTGACATTTTAACTTTTATAAAATACATTGTGTTGGACACTGGAATAATACTATTTATTTTCACCTGTGAAAATGACTTCATTGTACTTGAAACAACTCTTGCAATTCTCCATTCGTGCCATTCACTAGTGGAAATAAATTGTATTATACCATGATCTACTGGCTTTTTAAAACTGTGTTAAATAATGCACATTTTTGGTATAGCTATTATCATTTGTATATATATATATTGTATATACATATGAGTGTCTATGTGTGTGTATAAATGGATGGATGTAACTCATACTGTACATTTCCATCAGGGCACTTAAGGTTCTGTTGTTTTTGTTTGATTTTATTTTAGTCCTCAGTTAAGGCAAGAATGCAGGTGTTTTTTAAGAATGAGTACTCTGGGTTGATATTTATGAGAAAGTGATCATTACATTCAGTCTTTTCCTTTCTAATCCCCTCCTAGCATTTGTATGAGTGGAGAGAAAAGTAAAATATGGAACCATAAATTGCAGTGCAGTAAAATAGTGCCGAGGAAAGAGCCAGTTAGTGTTTCCATGAGTTTTGCGTTGTGATGCAACAAAAGATAAATGATGGAAAAGAAAAGTGAATTGTGGAAAGAACACTGGTGGTAATTCCTCTGCAGAGATGATAAAAAAGATAAGTCACACAATCTATATATGTTTTCTGTATTTCTTAGTAGTGATGCCATTGATCCACTTTTTTATTCCATTGATACTGTAATTACATATTTTTGCTGAGGATTTAAACAGCCAAGAAAGGAATTACAGCTAAAGCAATCTAAAGTCTCCTGAACTATACAGTCAACAGGAAATGGTCATTGAGAGCAGCTTATGGCATTGGTGAGGGGATTTCTGCTTTGAGTTGCCTCTTATTGCTTGTTAATATTAAGTTCTTTGTGCATCTTCCACCCTTTCTGAGCCACTAGTATTCAAGCAGAGATTTGGCCCAACACCGCATCCCATGCCTTTGGAGGTTATACCTTTCTGCATTTTGTCCCATGCTGAAAATGTGAAGTATCTTAGTGGTATTCAAGTCAGAAAATATATTTGTGTGTAAAGTGAGTCTCCTATAGTAATGGATGAAGCAATTCTCATTTCTTAGAGCCTTCTTTAAGCAGCAAAATTACAACTTGGTCTATCATCTTTGGGCTGCTACCAAAATATTGATTATTGAGGAGAAACAAATTCTCTATTTTGCTTTTCTTTATCTAACATGATAGCATTTCAACCCAGGTTATATGTTGCCTTTTGAAATATACTCACTCATAGTTGTTAAGAACTGGAAATTTCCCATCCTCAGATTCCTTAAAGAGTGTGCTGAACATTTAGCATACTTGCCTCTTGTGTATGCAAGGACTACTGATTGAAGTCTGTTTTGCTGTGTCTGGTTATGTTGTCTGCACTTTTATGAAATTGCTACAGTAGATCGACATTGGAAATCATTTAATTTGTAAATTTATTAAACACTGTTTAGAAAAAGAAAGTGAAGCTGAGAACTCTTCCTTTATTGTCACATTTTCTACTGAACTCATAATCTCCTTCAAAGTCATGTTGACTAATTTTTTTTCCTCCTTATATTCAGATTTCAAAAATTTTACTCATACAAAGGAAGAGAATCCATTTGGCCTGATGGTAGTCTTCAGAGCATAAGAAATACATAAATTAGTAGCACCTTATCTGCCTATTATGGGCTTCTTGGAAACTTGCACATCCCACCTACCCAAAGATTAGTATCTTTTTAAAGAAAATAAAGGCAGAGAATTAAACTTGGGGAGCCATGTACTATGTCACCATCACTGCTGTTTCCCAGCAATCCAAACTTTTGAAATTTCACAAATTTTTTTTGTGGGGGGTGTATGTGTCTCTGATTGTATTTTTGTTTTATTTTAAATATACAAGGGCTGTTTAGAGAAAAAGTTAATCCTCTCAAATAGCAGGATGCCCACTGGATACACTAATATAAACATCTGTAGGTAGTTTGCCATGAAGAAGTGGAGAGAAGGTGAAGCTTCTGAATGAATGGAAAAGGGTGTCTTATGCCCAAGAATTCCCCTCAAAGTACGGGTAATTCAACCTGCACAGTTTCCTTTTACTCACAGTTTTTAGCAAATTGTGAGTGAAAAATCATGTAATTATCTGTAAATATGTAGTTAACAAATTGACCTAGTTTCTGTATTTTTTTGGTTTTGTACTAAAGTTTATAGGTCTGTGCCAGCTAGAGAGGAGTTGCTGTCATTGCCAGTTGTGGTTCTAGCATCTAACCCTGAAACCATCCTAGGTGACGTACATTTTTAGAATTAACGCTTAAATGTTAAACAGGGGGAAATGAAACTTAATCATTGGTCAGGTTTGAAATCTTTTAAGCTAAGTAACTTTATTTACTATGATGATTACATATCCTCAGTCATAAATGAGGTAGGAGCCTCCCTCCCCCCGTGGCCATGTTTACAGAAGTGTGTTTTGTCTATAAAGTGCACAAGTGTGTTACTGTTTATGTAAATTATGCAAGTGATAACATTATGGTTTGGGACTGTTCGTGGGCTCTTTACCTGAATTTTCAAATGAAATGACTATGGTTATTGCTGGCACATTTATCCCATTTCTGGAACATTTTTCTAATTCCAGAATTACTGTGTTCCTTAGACATTACCCCCATTTAAACTCCCTTTCTCTGATATGCCTTGTAGCCAAGGTATTAAAGACTGGTGAACATAGATGAGGGAAATGCATTTCTTAAAAATCCATGAGCCCTCAATTGTATGCTTTCAGTACTTGTGTTATATGTTTCTATGGCTACTTTGAAGTCAGTGGTTTAGAATTGAGATACCAATGTTAATGAAAAGTGTGTACTCTTTGCTTTTGCATGGCTTGGCTTAGTATCCAAGGTATATTAGAGCCACTTGAAAGCATGGAGACCAGTTATATGGAAACAGGTTTCTCTCAGTGGCACATTTTGCTTTTCCTTAGTCCTCAAATACATTGTCTAGGCATGAACATTATACTATAAATTGCACATGGTCATATAGTGAAGTATGTAATTAAAAAGGATACAGCTGCCTGTTGTTTGCAGTTTCTGGCTGGTCTGTGTGACCATTTGGCATATCAAAAACATATCAAAAAACCCTGAGGAGTGTTAGAACCCTTCTAACCCTTTTTAGGGGGTCATAAACAGATATGTTTAGTTTACCAAGATGTTGGCTGCTTCTGGTGTATTGCCAGAGAAGCCCTTTTGGTGCCCATTCCAAATGTGCTGTGCTTCCTCTCATTTCATAGATCAAAGAAACCACCATCCCTTCTTCCTAACAGCATTTTCCCCCTTTTATTCCACATTAAATGGGAATTGTGCCTACTTAGAGTGCTCCTCCAATTAATTACATGTGTCCCAAAATTGTCCAAGCTAGAAACACAGGAAAGAACACATAAAAAAAAAAGTTACTTGAGGCCAGTCATTTGATAAGGTATTTTGCCACATTATCTTGACAACATATATGAGCCTATTAGGATTTGCAAGTGATTTCTAGAGTAAAATTTAAGTGAAGAGGGATGTGTGGGGTTTCTATTAGGAAATAATTTTGTTTATTTTTAACCTTTCCTTTTACGATCCTTCTCTGCTAGTTTACACAGGTTCTTCAATTTTTTTTAACCTTTTAGGAAAATTTTTACAAAAGCAATGGTCTGATGTAAATAACATTTTAAAGTATAGTGCACATAGCTTCCCCAGACTGTTCCAACTTAATGATTTGTAAATGCTTTAGAGTTTTTTAAATTAACACCTGTGTTGCTAAATCCTATTTATGTAAGTCTGCTAAAGTTTTTAACCCACTTAAGACTTAAACATTTAAATAATGGATGGGTTACTATAAGCAGTTTAGCTTCCAGAACCCTCTTGTTTTAGTATATGAAAAAGCCTAATGCTCATTAATGAGGTTGGAAAGACTATGAGAAATATGTATAGTGTATATTTTAAAACAGCTTTGCTTGTATTGTGAAGATTTAAGAACAAACTTGAGATTTTTTAACGTAACTATTAACACAGTTTTATCATAATTTATCCCACTGGGTTTAAGAGCATCTTGAATGTATAATCCTTTTTGTAACCCAGGTTGGTTTCTGCTTTTACCAGTCATCCAAACATTATTTATATTTTTGGTTTTAAGTATTCATTTCCTTTGCTATCCTCAAACAGCATGATTTATTTTGCACATGTAGAAATTTTTAAAAGGAAAAAAATTAACACATCATTTTCTCTGGTTCTTTACTTTTATCTTCCTACTAACTCCTTTAAAGGCCATATCACTCCATTTGCATTATTTATGCAAATGCAAGGGTTGGTTTTTATTTTTATTTTTGCTATTTACCTTGAAAAAGAAAATGCTTCAGTCAATTGCTTTTTTATTTAAAAAGAAAAAAAGAAAAAAAAAAAGAAAAAAGCTGTAACCTTATCATTTCTGAGTAGACCATTGAGAGATGAATGCACACCTGTCATAGCCCAGGACCAGCTATGGAAGCTGAAGGGAATATTTTAACTAAGCAAGATTTATTTTCTGAAAGTGGTATACGTTATCCACAATCTGTTTCAGTTATTCCCATGAGTCAAGGGTCCAGATAAAATGAGGGTTATCAGCTAACTGATATGTTATCATTGAGGTTCATCAATGAATTTGTACATTTCTAGTTCCCTTTGGTGAAGGGAAAAATGATTTTGCAAGACCTAGATTTTGGCTTGGTTTCTTGCCTCCTTTTTTGGCAGCCTTCATCTTCTCATCTCCTAAAGCCCTTGAGCCTGTAGGGTTTTCATAGAGGACAAAGGACTTAACGGTCTTTTAAAGCTGGGACTGATTTTTTTTTTTTTTTTTTGGTCAGAGATTATCATGTTGAAAGTGTGGTAGTGTTCTACCACTTTACTGATGACTAATGTTAAACATACACAGTCCTTTAAACTTTTGGACCAAACAGATGCCCACAGTGGAGGCTTATCAAGGGTTGCAATGGGAAAGAAGCCTCTCCCTCACTGTCAGCACCAGCTGGTAAAGGTGACTGTACAGATGTGCATTTTCCTTTTGGTAGTAATGGTCCACAGCACTAACTGGTAAGGCTTATTGTACAGTATATTGTCAGTATTCTTCTGGTTCAGCATACCTTATAGTTCATATATAATCTGTATTAATTGTATAGATTGTGCATTTAAACTGTTACCAAGTTGTCAGAACATAAGAGCGAAACAAGGTCATATGTAATATTTTGTTTGTAAGTATCCTTTGTATCATAGCAAAGGAAATGTTTAAAAAATCAACTGTAATAAAGTAATTTTAGTACACAATGTCTGCTTAGTTTTTTTAAAGCAATTTTATTCCCATAGGTTTATTTTAGCAACAGTTATCTAATTTCAAACACAGGGCTAGATGTTACAAAAATGAAGTGCCGGGGGCTGGGGTTTTAGCTCAGTGGCATAAGCACCTGCCTTGTAAGCAGGCAGTCGTGAGTTCGATCCCTGGTACCAATAAAAAGGAAAAAGACAAAAAAAAAAAAAAAATGAAGTGCCGTATTGGTAAGAGGAACTCTACCTTTGCTCTGTCCGGAGAATGAAATGGCTTGTGTCTTTAGGTATGAGATGACTCTACTTTTGGTTCTGTTTGATGCAGGATCTTTTTTTTTTTTTTTTAATTTTATTTAAAAGGAAAAAGAGAAAAACACAAAACAAAACAAAGCGGTGTAAGGGTACACGTAATACAGAACTACAAAAAAAAAAGAAAGAAAAAAAAAACAGTAAGAAATCACCAGTTAATAGATTACATACTATCATCTTAGAAATAGTTGCTCAAATCACAGTATCAAAGAATACAAAGTGGACATTCAAACAGCGAGACTGCAAACTGTTGTGTTCAGTGATCCAACCAAAAACATTAATATGGTCAGCTGTTTAACACCCCTAAACACACTTGCTGTTGTATCCTTTAGAGCTCTTTTTTTTCCCTCTCTTTTTTACAACAAAATTTACACATTTTGGGTTTTATTACTCCTTAGTTCTTATTACTTTTTGGGGGGGAGAGAATAAAGTCAAATATGGCAAAACAAAGCTGTCAGTCAAAACCAAAGATAGACATAGCACATGATGTAAAACAGAGTACAAGGTTATCAATAATGGTTATCAACGATGTCTCTTGTTTCCTTAAAAAGAATTGTCTATCTCATTAGATATTATAAAGTTGAACAGAACAGTAGAGAACAAGACCAATAAAACTTAGGCATTGTAAACATTACAGGACTTCCAAAGGAGACAATAGTCAAACCAGAATGGGCATCTTAGTGAATCTTATTGCCTTCAAAGTAGTTGCCTATACCCTCAAACTTGATACTTTGATGCAGGATCTTAAGTTGTATTCCTGTGTTTTGATCTCTGTAATTATAACTCCTCCCACATATAGGGACATTATTCTATTAAAAATTATCGTATAGGGGGCTGGGTATTTAGCTCAGTGGCATGGGCACCTGCCTTGCAAGCAGGCGGTTGTGAGTTCGATCCCTAGTACCCATAAAAAAAAGTTATCGTATATATTTATACTTTTATATATACTTTATTGGGCCCAGACCTTCCACATTGTGACCCTTTCATTCTAGCCTCCCAAGAGCAGGGATTACAGGCATATGCCACCATGCTCAGCAAAAATCGTCACATTTTAGCCACATGTGGGATAGTAGGCCATCTAATCCAGTCCTGTTTAAAACACTTTGGATGACTTTTTTTTTTTTTGTAAAAAGGTGAATTCAGGAGGAAATTTCATGGATGCTGGGCTATTTTTTTAAATTCAAAAACAAGCATAGTAGACAAGATAGAAACACTGCAATAACCCATAGGCCATAAGTACAAGTATTGTTTACCTACTATATTTACTTAGGAAAATGGCACAGCTTTTAAACTTGTAAAATGCCGGTATGGAGCCTTTGTAACATTAACATTTATCTAATTTGCCTGGCTCAGACAACTGGCAGAGCCTGAATTTGGAGAAACTCATCAAGAGAGCTTAAAATACAAAACTTGCATTTTCAACTGGGCAATCCTTACACATGAAGGGCTGTATATACTCAAGTCTTTTCATATGGAACAGTGTTTAAGTCACAGATGAAGTGGAAACTAAAACCCGGATCTCCCAAGTTACTACCTCAGTACCCTATACTACCCACACCAGTTGCTCACCAAAAAAAAATTTCTATGTAGATTCTAAGTGAAGATCAGGGAACTTAAACCCGGCTGAGAAATTACTACCCCAGAGCAGAAGGCCTGGTTGTTGATTAAACAAATCTGCCTGTGGTTAGTGTTAAAGAAATAAAGCTAGGACAGGCTGGGTGCTGCATGCCTATAATCCTAACAGGCAGGAGGATCCTTACAAGTTTGAGACCAGTCTGGGCTACAAAATGAGTTTAAGACCAGTCTGACCCTGTAATAGTGAGGCTGTGTCTCAAAAAGCCCAAAACAAAACCAAACAAAGCAAAATCTACACAAGTGAGGCCACAACCGGTGAATGGAAAGTGCAGGGAGGCACAGTCTGTCAGCACGGCTCAGTACACAGAGAATTGCGGGAGACAAACAGCACATATTTGTTCCCAGATATTTGTACATTCTGGTGTTGCAGGGAGACTGCAAGTTTTACAGTATTTTCAGAGGCAAACAAGTTAGAGAAACGTTTGTTTAACCACATTGGTGATAAACACTAGGGTAAGATATTGCTTTATTTCAGGGTAAGGCTGGAGGGGTGAGACAAGGATATATTTATGTCTTTCATTGTTTTAAACTTCATTTTACCTTCCAACTTTTAGCTCTGAGCACCTATAACTACAGTGTAATTACTGGATATCTTTATTATCCTAGTCACATTCACAGGATTATTTTCATTAAAATCCTTTTTTTAAAAAAAATCTTTTTGAGATATGGTTTCACTATTCAGTCCAGGCTGGCCTTGAACTCATTTTGTAACCCAAGCTGGCCTCAAACTCAGATCCTCTGCCTCAGCCTCCTGAGTACTGGGATTACAGGCATGTGCCATACTCTTATTAGAATCTTGACCAACTCCCTGGTCAAGTCTATAATCACTTGATCATCAGATCTAAAAACAAACCAAAAGTCTGCAACTCTCTGAGCTTATTAGCATTATTTCAGTTTATAGATTCACATATAAGAGGAGGCTATTTGATCCAAGCCATATGCATGTCTTAGCGCCCTCCCATGATAGGTGCCAAGAGGTAGCCTAGCTTGAATACTCCCCTGATGATGTGGGACTTGTTCTTTGAGGCATTTATTCTGTTGTGGGTCCTTGGGCACCCTTGGTATACAACCTAGAAGCCTTCCTGAAAACATTCTTTGCATATTATAACATCTGAAAATTTCTGATTTCATCCTTTGTGGCTTGACAGTAAAATCATGAATACTCTTTATTGGCATTGTTACAAAGGTCTATCAGAGTGGGTGGGTGCATCTGCTTATTTAAATAGGGAGAGGAATTCATGCTGAAGTTCATTTCTAAAGGAAGATACCTTGTCTGGCTGACAGAGGATATTGTGGTTTGGGTGAAAGATGAGTACAGAGGAGTTTCTGGTGCTGGGATGGTTTTGAGGTTATGTATAAAGCCAAGATGACACTTCCTGTGTTGACTTTTTTCCTAACCATATTCAAGTCTTAGAAGCAATGTCTTCATTCAAAACATTTCTCAGAGAATGGAGCTTTTTCAGTAAAAGAACTATTGGAACCTATTTATAAATATATAAAATAGTCCTTATAAAAATTTAATTATACATCCTTGGTACCAAAGGTGAGAACACAGTATAGTTCAAAGAAACACTCAGAAGGTAGTTATCTGCTTCCTGTATCTGATGCCCATGTGGAAACATAGGACTTGGCTGCTGAGATAATGCTTCCCTTAATCGCTGGGGTTTTCTGGTTTTTTTTTTTGTTTTTTGTTTTTTTTTTTCCTCTCTTCTTACCATTTGAGGAGACCAAAAGGAAGGCAAGAAAGTAATGAGGCATAAAGTCCCACCTTGTGAAAACTCCCAGCTAAGTAGTACTTTGTTATTATCTTGCTTTCTCAAACTCAGAACTTGTGATTTTGTTCATGGGACCATCCTTTCTTAGAATAGTGTGCAGGGGTCTCTCTCTGCTCCTCTCATGGTTAGCTGTGTACCAAAATAGAGCCATTTTAGCTAAAGGACAGAGTCACCCCAACCTTGAAAAGAAACTACACTTTCTTAGCAAAAATAAACTTTGCAATCCTTAACTGCAGGGCTGGGAGTGTAGTTCAGTGGTAGAGCTCTTTCCTAGCATGTGCAAGGCCCTGATTCCATCCCCAGCACTGCGAAAGAAAAACAAAAGGAAAAACAAAAAACATCTTGTAACTGCAAAATATATATATTGCCCTTCCTAGCAAATTTTCTTTCCTATAAAAAGGGCAAAGAGAATGAACCAGCATGTCTATTCTTTTGAGAAAGCTATTCTTTTGAGAAACCAGAACCCTATGCTATCTGGTCTAGAGAAACTACCATGATTTTTGCCTTTTGGGACATGCTTAGCCTTACAGCTTAAAAACCACTGGGCTGAGCCCAGCCTCGGTCACTTAGAGAGAGTATCTCAAAATAAAGAATAAAAAAGGGCTCGGGGTGTAGCTCAGTGTGAAGGCCCTGGTTTCAATTCTTCCTTAGTACCAAATTCCTTAGAACAAATTAAAAAGTACTGGGTTGCTTCTCACTTTGAAGTTCTGAATGATCCAAGGGCATATGGCACGGTAGGAGCCTAACTAACTGAAAGCCCCACTGAAGGAGATGGGGAGGGCGCCAGATACCAGTAACTGTGCCTTACAAGGCTTACAGAGGCTGCAGTTCAACTTCTTTAGCATTCAGTTCCTTTTTGTTTCTACTGCTCAGAAAGGGTGAAAGAACATTAAAGGAGGAATGAGAGGAGGAGGAGAAGTAATGAAAGAGGGAGATTTTTTTTTTGTTGTTGTTGTTTTTGTCTTTTTCATTTTTATCGGTACCAGGGATTGAACTCACAACTGCCTGCTTGCAAGGCAGGCGCTTATGCAGCTGAGGTAATCCCCAGCCCTGAGGGAGACTTTTTTTCCCCACAACAGATTATGCCTTAGACAACTGAATGTCTATATTGGTTAGAATACTAGAGTTCAGAATTTCTTTCTTTCTTTCTTTCTTTCTTTTTTTTTTTTTTTTTTTTTTTTTTTTTTGAGCTTTAAGAACAAGACAGTGGCAAGATCATCCAAATCTGAACTTATGGCACTAGGAATACCTCAGCCCAAGACTCAGAGTACGCCTTTTGGTATAACTCTCTCTTTCAAAATTGCTTTGCTGTTTCTGAGGTCAAAACAGGCATAGCTCAGCGGCATAAGCACCTGCCTTGCAAGGAGGCAGTTGTGAGTTCAATCCCTGGTCCTGGTGGGGGAAAAAAAAACAGGCACCTTCTTTCTCACTGATGAATTAAAATTTCTGGGCTGGGAATGTAGCTTTGTGATAATGAGTGCTTACCTAGCATAGGCAAAGCCCTGGGTTCAATCTCCAGCACCAAAATAAACATTTTTTAAAAAACCTTATGGCAAGCCGTATTAAACATTTGAACATGGAACTAGATCTCTTGTTCTAATAATAGTAATAATAATGGCCTAATTCAAAACAGACTATGTTGACCAATCTGTACCCTACACCTTATCATGGAGTGAGCCCTCCTCACTCTTGGTGCTTTGTTTCCTCTGGTCCCTGATGTCTGTCCTGGCTCTGGAAAGGGAGAGGCTAGGAGCATCAGAAAAGACTGTAACTAACAAGAAACTCTGAGGTGAGGTCTGTACTTTTAATGACCTACAGAAAACCCACATTTCAGGAGAAAAATAGCTCTGGCTGGGCTTCTCTGGAGGAATCCTCAGAAATGGAACAAGAGGGAACATTACTTGAGAAACTGGCTACTAGTGCCAAGGTCTAACAATGTGGGTAAGAGCACTTCTTATTCCTAAAATCCCCTGGGGTCCCTCCAGAGAAGCCAGAGGGCCGGGCGGAGGCTGGAGTCCCAGATCAGCCCCATTCTCAACCGAGACTGGCAGGGTTCCTCTTAGAGAACGGATCTTTGAGCCCAGGTCAGGCTTTCTCATTCTCACCCTTACCAGTCCTGGTCAAGAGGTCCCAGCACTTCCTGCTCTGCTGCCTTTTCAGACTCAGGCAAGTCTGGGAGCCTGGGTCCACAGCTGCTGATGCATTCAGTCGGAGCAGAGCCACAACCACAGAGCACATGAAGGAAGTGGGACTGAGACACAAACATCCTGTCCTTTTTACATCAAATGGCTCCAGCTCAAGAAGCAGTTGCTGTGTTGATTATTTATGTGAGACAGAGAAGCCAAATGACATGCATAAACTCATCTTCCCTGTAGTCATGCCTAGGAGGAAAGCATTTTCTCTTGAGTCCATTTTCTCTTGGTTTATGAAATTGCTGGAAGGAGGCAGGGACCAGAGATGACCAGGATGAGCAGGAATGTGTTTAACAGAGCTCCATGGGGGTTCCACTCAGCTGGGGAGAAGGGGTTTGCAGGTAGCTGTATCTCTTCCCACAGACCAGTTTAAGAGAGAGAGGCAGAATCAGAAGCGAAGCCCTGGAGCTGCCCCTTCCAGTCCCTACTATCTTTTTGGGACTCCTGCCAGGTCTCATCTGGTGTATGATCGCTTCCAGCTAAAGATCTCCTCCAGATTAGAAGAGGGGGAGATCTCTCGCTTCTGCAAGACTCCCCAACGGCGGCGGCATCCTAGGAATGAGGTCCGGTGCCTGCTCAGCCCTTTCATCCTCTCTTCCATGCGGAAGAACTCAGTCAAGGCTCGGAAGGACTCTAAGATGACCTCGTGGCTCCAGGCTGGGAAGGGCTCCTGGCGCAGGAAGCCACAGTGGCCTCCATGGCGACTGAGCAGCAAAAAGAAGTAAGGGTTGCTGTGGAAGAGTTCGGTAGGCAGAGTGCGGTCCGGCGGCCCACAAACAGGGTCGTCGGTGCTGCAGATGCACAGCACTGGCACAGCGGCCTCATCCACATCCCGGAGGGGGTCATTGCGGTCCCAGTATGTGTCCCAGCTGATGGGGAAACTCTTAGTGTGGCAGAAGAGGGTCTCCTCAAACTCTCTCAGGGAGCGGCTCTTGAACAGCTTGCAGGTATCCACTGTGTCCTCCAGGGCAGTGGCATACCTGGTAGCAGGAGTTGAGGGGACCAAGGTATGGAAGAAGGAAGGAGGAATCATAAAATCAGAGATAGCAGAAGCTGTAGAGTAGTAGCCCACGGGCCAGATTCTAGTCCCGAGGCTTTTTGGTTGCATGGCCCTTTTAAAAACTTAAACTGGAGGGCTGGGGGTTTAGCTCAGCAGCGTTAAGTGCCTGCTTGGCAAACTCAAGGTCATGAGTTTGATCCCTGGCACCACAAAAAAACCAAAAACAAAAAACACTTAAACTGGGGCCAACAAACTTTGCGCAAAACACAGATCTTCAGGGAAATGAATAGGAACATATGGCTGTGATACATAGCATCACCTGTCCAGCTCTTAGAGGCGACATCTGGTTTGGCAGGCAGCTTCCCATCTACAGGGACAGCTCTCCTCCCAACCTCAGCTTCTCATTCTTTCCAGGGAACTTGTTAAGAGCTGTTACTTTCTGGACCCTTTCTACCTTCAGAAATCACTGGAGCTACCCTGTTCAGTTATGATGTTAGTTGCCTTTATATTTTTATACTAATGTTGCTGTCCTGATGATGACAAACGAATGTGACCTATGAGTTTGATCAGGTACTTCTCAGGGAGGTATTCCTAGATTAATTTACATGAAGCATTTCCACGCAGGGGCCTGAGAGCAGCTGCTGTGGGGATAGAGTACCTTTGTTGTTTCCAGCTTCCTGAAGAGGCACTGGCATACTAGCTTAGTCCTTTGGGTGGGGTCATCTGGCCAGCCTCAGCCAGCTGAATTTACAATATGTTGCCTGAGGGTGCTGGGGATATAGCTCAGCGGCATAAGTGCCTGCCTTGCAAGCGTGTGGTCGTGAGTTTGATCTCTGGTACCGATACAAAAACAAACAAACAAAAAAACAAAAACAACAATAAGTTGTTTGCAAATATTAAAAGAGAGTGCCCCAAGCTTTCAACCAAAAATTCCTTGGGCATGGCAGTTTCTAAAGGCACGAGTTTCCTCTCCACTTCTAGCTGGTGCCCAGGGTCCTTGCCAATGGTGGTCATTTTGGAGTGGAAACTATGACAGTTAAGCAAGATGAGAGCACCTTCTCCCTGGACTACGCCAGCCCTCTGGGTTGCCATGGCAGTGCTTCAGGTTGGTGTTCAGTTCAGGATTTGAGCTTCTCAAAATAGGCAAACTGGGGCAAGGAAAAAGCACAGTTGCTGAGCACCTACCCAGTGCCAGCCTTTCACCTTTATTTGTCACTTAATGATCAGAACCACTGGGGATGTGGCTATGATTAATTCCATTTAACTGAAGGGGAAAAGTGAGTCTACAATGGGTTAGGGGCTGGGCATGGTGGCACATGCCTGAAATCCTAGCACTCAGGAGGTTGAGGCAGGAGGATTGCTATGAGTTTGAGGCCAGTCTGGGATACAAATTGAGTTCAAGACCAGCTTGAACTTTTTATCTTAAAAAAAAAAAAAGTGTGTGTGGGGGATAGGTAACTTCTGGAAATTCAAGATTTAGACCCAAGCAGGTCTATTCCCATACCCCAGGTCTTTTTCTGCCTCATCCTCTTGTCTAATGCATTTGACCTCATTCTGCCATCTCCAAGGGAAGGCTGCTGGCCTGACACTCAGAGCTTCTTGGTGAGAGTCTCACCTGTCACCCTGGTAGTAAATTATGCTCCTTTTGGAGGTTAAAATAAAAATGTTTAAATATTTTTAAAACAAGTTAAATGTGGAGTACATATGCAGGATATTTGCCAAGCCAAAAGAATTTTTAATAAATGCTGCCCTATTTCTGATCCCTGTCACCTCCAGGCTCTAGGATGGAAGTAAATACTCTAGACAGAAAATGGGCTGCAACTGCTTTGAAAGCCCTCTTTGCTGACCTGCTGAGTTACAGACTAAGTGGTAAACGTCAGGTGTTCAGGTTGCTAGGATACTTGAGGGCATGATGGAGGCCCCGGTGAGTCCCTGCTCTAGCTCAGTGATGCCGGTTAAAGCTGAGAGGCCACATATGGCTTTCAAACCTCCTTTTTAAGTTCTATTTAGAATGGGGGTTTGGACAATTTTGGAAAATGTGTGAGAACCTTGCCCAAACTGGCCCATACCTGTTTGTTTTCACAGGAGGCAGGGATGTTTTCTAGGCCAGCCTGAGGCCTCCCTGCCCAGCATGGGCCTGAATTACCCACCTGCTGAGCGCAATCTTCTGATATAGTAGGAAGCCACGCTCATAAAGCCAGGGCAAGCCGGTCTCAAACCACTCGCGGCAGCGCAGCACAGGCGAGATGCAGGCGGCACCCATCATGTAACTGGAGGACCCGCACTCGCCCAGGTAGGACAGCAGCAGCGCGGAGCCTGAGCCCTCGCTCACAGCGAAGAGCGGAGCCGCGGGGTGTCGGAAGCGAATGTAGGTGACTGCCTCTTTAAGGTCCGACGGGTCACCAAAAGGCTGCAGCCGAGGGCTGACCAGTGGGCAGCCGTGGTGGCCACGGCGGTGAAAGATGACCGGGTAGTAGCCATGCTCCAGGGCGAGCAGGCACAGGCCGAGAACGTTGCGGGTGAGGCGCCCCCAGGCGTTTGGGATCACCAGCAGCACCGCCGGGAGGGCTCCCGCGCTGGTGATCCGGCGACCCCGGGCGCAAGGTCCTATGACCCAGTCCAGGGCCACCAGCCCATCGTCTGCCAACTGCAAGTACTCCCGGGCCAGCTCAGGCCCCGGCCCGACGGGCAGGACGAAGTGGCAAAAGGTCTGCAGGTGAGGCCCGGACAGCCAGGGGCGCGGTTCAGGCTCCAGCGCCGCAGAGCGTCGCAGGGCGCGCAGCAGGCACTGGGCCAGCGCCGACGGCTTACAGAGGAGGCTGCAACCGCCTGGCAGCGACTCACGCCCGTCGCTGAACTGATCGGTGGGGCCTCCGGAGTTCATCTCGTCGTCCTGGACCACGGCCCCGGGCTGAGTCCTCGCTCCAACAGTGTGCAGGAGTCTGGGGGCGAACAGAAAGAGCAAGGCGAGCGAGGCCAGGAACAGCGCGAGGGCGACGCCCCATAGCGGCATGGCGCGGCCGAGAGCCCCCTGCGAGCTGCGGGCGGCGGGCTCTGGGCCCCCTCGGCGAACTCCCGGCTTAGTCCGCTGCTCCACCCGGCCTCAGCAGCCGCCCAGGGCCCTCCGCGCGGGCGGGCGGGCGGACGCGCGCGCTCGGGATTGGTCGCGGGCCCGCAGAGGCAGCCAGTTCGGGTAGAGCTCCCCTCGCCCGCCCTCACCCTTTGTACTGTGATTGCAACAAGCTGGAGCAGAGGGTAAAGGGGCCACCGAGAGGAAGCGAGAACTTGGAGGCGAACCAGGAGAGAGTAGGGCATTGAGAGAGGATTAGCAGGGGAGACCCGCAGACGAGCCCACGGACGCCGGGAGAGCACCAGAGTCCCTGGGCTCCGCCCTCCGCCCTATAAAATCTGGGGCTGACAAGAAAGGCTGGGGTTCGTTAGGCGCTCCGCGACCGCTATCGAGAAGTGAATGACGCGTGCAGCCTTGGGCGCATCTCCCGGGGTTCCCAGCCGCAGCTGCAGCCAGGCCCGCTGCCCTCCCTTGGCTGGCTTTGCCGCGCTCTTTGACCTCGGAGTTTGTCTCTGCCTGCCGCGACCCGCAACTGCGCAACGACCCGGCGGGGCTGGGGGCAGCAGCAGGTCTGCAACAAAAGCAAAGGCAGTCGTCGAACTCTCGCCGCGCGTTTGCGGCTGGAAGCTCCTCCCGCGCAGGGATCGAGGAGTTCTGCAGACCCCTCGTGCCCCGACCGGAGAAGAAGGAAGGTCCTCTCGTGGAGCAAGTCATCAACAGAAAGAGCTTCCTCAAATGCAGCCCCAGGTTGAGTAAAGTGAGGGGACCTGTCCCCAAGGATTAGGCTGTGGCAAGGATAGAGCGGCCTCCTCCTTCACCTCAGTATCTGATGATTACTGACTGGAGATGGTAGGGCATGGAGCGATTTAATTTACAAGCCAGGGGTTTGGGGCGAGGGGGCTGAAATAACACGTGCTTTGGGACTGCACATCTCAACTCTCACTCTACATTTTCATCCCCCCCCCCCCCCAATCCTGAAGAGTGCATGGAACTGGCGCCTGCTGCCAAGGAAGCCAGGAAGGGCTCTTAGATGGGGGAGAGGCCTGTAGCTGCTCCGCCTCTCGCCTCGCGGGGACTAGAGTCTCTGGCCACGGCTGGGCGAAAGATCAGAGAGGTCTGGGGCAAAAGTGGGGTAAAGGAAGATCCCTGGCCAAATCCGATTTCCCAGGGCTTCTGGATTTGGAGAGACAGGGGTTCTGAGGCTCTCTGGGGTTCTTCCGAGCTCAGGCCCTATTTGCTAGGGCGGGAATGGGTTGCGTTGAAGGGGAAGCTCTAGAGCCAGGACCGTCTCCCTTCTGCAGCTTGAGTTCGGGAGTCGGGCTGTCTTCCAGTTGCAGAATGTGTCTGAAGCGAGTTTGCCGGGAGCGCAGACCAGACTCCTCCCCCTGGGCCATCCAGTCCACAGGGATCCCATTTCCCGCCCTTTGCCCCGCTCCCGATCCGGCCAAGGCGCTGCAGCTCCGCCCGCGCAAACCGCGGGGAGGCGCCGGGGCTAATCCCAGTGTGAGCGAGGCGCCCCCCCGCCGGCCCCGCGGCAATGCTCGCCCGCTGGGCTCATGCACAACTTTTCCGGCTTCGGATTTAGGACGCGTGCGCGCAGGCTCGGCTGCTGGGGCGGGGCGAGGCCCGGGCGCACGGTCTGGGGTGGATGGGGCGGGTCGGCGCGCGAGCCCGGGGTCGACGTGGGCGTGCGGGCGACGCCGACGCGGGAGCGCGCTCCCTGGCTGCCGGGGCCGCGATAACCGTGGCATGGCGCCTCCTCCGCTTTCACTCTACTTGCTTCTCCTGGCAGCCCTGGTGGGGCTCCTGAGTCCCAACGAGGTAAGGCGCCCCACTCCTGGGAAGCCTTCGGCCCGAGATCTCAAAGCGCTCTGCCCAAAGTTCACCGTGGAAGGAGTGGCGCGCCGAGAGGAGACTAAGAGTCTGCTCTACCCCAGCCGCGCGCGGGCCTGGGAAGGGAGAGAAAAGGTAGGGCCGTGGCTGAGGCCAGCGACCCAGCTCTGCGCCTTGGACCCACAGGTGGTGGCTGAGCTGGCGAAGGAGGCTGGAGTCCGCTGTCCCGAGGGTCCTTGGCCTCTGCCCCAACAGGTAGGGGCCCTGAAGGGCCGAGGGAGAGGGGTGCGAACGAGTACCCTAGTTCGGCTCTGGCCTCGCTGTATCATCCAGTCTCCCTGTGGGGACCTCTGTCGGTTCCTCCTGCCTTCAGTCGCTAACTTCTCCATCCCAGCCTAGATCTTGGGGCCTGGTGTTCCCTCCCCACTCTCCACAGGCAGCGGCCCAGCCGCTCTAAACATTCTTTTCCCGTGTGTAGGTGTTGCCAAAAGCGAGCTACACTCGAGTGGCACCAGGGCAGGTGAGTACAAGGAGCGTACAGCCTTGCTGTCTACATCTGAGACATGCCTTGACCGCTTCCTCAGACTTTCCTGCTCATCAGTGCCCTTGCTTGCCATTTTCTGCAGGAGGAGGCAAGGCTCACTATTCAGAACCCATCGCTCTATCGAAGTAACACTGCTTGGCTTCTCTAGCCATAAATTAACTTCATCTGGCTCCTCATCTTCACTTCTTCTCAATCATGCTGGTCTGCTCATCACACAAGTGATGCCAGGCTCTTCCCATTGCTGTACCCTTTCTCCTGTTTATTTTTCAGGCCTGTCCTAAGTTCCTACCCCCTGCCACCCATCCCCATTTATTTCACAGCCCAGTGCAGGAGTCCACTCCTCCTGAGATCTTGTTTGATTGTATCAGCCTGTCAGCTTCCGCTTCTCTGTATTCCTGTAGTACTCATAATCAGTCACAATTGAACAGCTAACCACTTTGTGCTTTATTAGCTTGTCTTTTCATGTGCATTATGTCCTCCCCACACCCTAGTACTTTATCTCTGGCTTTTTTTTTTTTTTTCCCTTTGGAGACATATTTTCACCAAGTCGCTAAATTTTCTGGGCCTGGGCAGAATCCAGTTCTCTTTTGGTGTATCCTCCAGTGTCTAAGCACTGGGTTAATTTAATCAAGGAATAATTAATGACTGATGAAGTGTTTTATCCTGTGAGTGTGTACCTGCTGCCTATGGTCCTTGTATTTGGATCCTCTTGGGAGAATGACTTTGTAGATTAGATCTATAGAGAAGAGTTGGTCTTTATCCGAGGGATGCTTATTATCTAGATTGCAGATCTGTAGATCCAGTGTTGCAGAGGTAGAGAAATAAAGTGTGATCTAACAGGGTTGCCTAAGCATTCTGTTAGCTCAGAGGTTCAGCCTTGAGGGGTGACATTTGTTGAAGAAGGGAGCAAAGGGAACACTCAGAAGCAAAGGAAGTGCCTGCCAGTACCCAGGGCCCTTTGTTCTTTCTTGTGCCCCGAAAGTAGGAGGGCCACCTGGCCTTGCTGGTTGTCAATTTACAGCGGTCTCTAAGATGGAAGAGCTTGTGATTCTCTGGGAGGGTCCTGATCTGGGTTGATGTGTCTGCCTTTCCTTCAGGCTGAGGATGTCACCTTCCTCTATCACCCATGTGCCCACCCCTGGCTGAAACTCCAGCTTGCTCTCCTGGCCCATGTCTGTGTTGCTAAGCCCTCACTCATTCCTGACTACACCCTCAATCGGGACAGGGTAAGTGGTTGATGAAAGACAGTGTTCTGGCCATGCAGCCCCATATGCAGGGAAAGGAAAATTCAGGGCCTTCCTTTTGCTTGCTTCCTACCTTCTTAGCGCTAAAAGTTACCTTGTTTCATAGCCCCTGGTGCTGAGACAGTGGGGGATGGCACTGGAGATGGCATGGGTAGAACCAGCTTGGGTTGCCTACTGGTTAAAGAGGCGGCAGCGGAGAAAGCAGAGGAAGAAAATATGGTTCCACTCCAACAGCCCTGCTCAGCCCTCTCCGTCAGTGCCAACTCGCAGCAGAGGGAGGCTATACCCAAGAGGGTGTATGCAGGTGAGGCGTGCCAGGCCGTCTTGGGGGTGTCAGGGTCACTGGGTTGTCTAAGCAGGGCAGGAGTGACTGATCATTGTTTCTTCGCCTCCTAGGCTCCAGTTCTGGCCTTTGCTGTACGCAGCTGGCGGCCTCCTGGCACAGAGATGCCCTCACGAGAGCCCAGGCAGCACTCTTCCAGTGGTGCCAGGAGACGGGGTCTGCGAGCTGCCTTGGGTCTCCAGTTCACTTCTGCAGGCCCCATGGTTCCTTTCGCTTCCCCATGGAGTTTAAAGATCCAGCAGCCCATTTTGAGAACCCAGAGTGAGGGGGCCAATGCCCCATCTGTGCCTTCGGGTCCTTTGTCACCTGGGGGACCTGTTGGCAATGCAAGCATCAGGTTAGAGGGTCAGATACCCAAAGCCCAGGGCAGCCCAGGGGGGTGTGCCTGCCCAAGTCAGGCTCCTCCTGCCCCTCGGGCAGCAGCGCCTCCTGGGGCAGCCCGGGGCCCCACCCCACGCACTGAGGAGGCCGCCTGGGCGGCCATGGCCCTGACTTTCCTGCTGGTACTGCTTACGTTGGCCACGCTCTGCACGAGGCTGCATCGCAACTTCCGCAGAGGAGACAGCATCTACTGGGAGCCCACGGCGGATAGCCAGGACACCGTAGCCGGTGAGACCTTGCCTCCCCACCCCCTAGCCCCCCTGCCCGAACTCACCCAGTGGCTTCCCTGGCTCTGACTGCACCCCTGCCCACAGCTGTGCTGAAGCGCAGGCTGCTGATGCCTGCACGCAGAGTCAAGCGCTCCCGCCGGAGACCTCTGCTCCCCCCTACACCGGACAGCGGCCCGGATGTGGAGAGCTCAGACTGACCTGCCTTAGCCCTGCCGCTGGCCGGCGGGCTCCTCCTCTGCTGTTGTCAGGACCTCTGCCACGTGGCCCGAGCACAGGGGCTCCCCCTGGCGGCACACGTGGCAGCCCTGCTACCTACTGCAGAAACTGCCTCCTGGACACACGGTTTGCGGGAAATAGAGAAAAAGGAGGCCTTCACGATCCCCTCGCCCAAACTTGTTTCTAATTAAATTATTTTAGTAGAGTCCAGAGTTGAGCTTGTGCATCTGCCACATAGACACGCTCCCCCAAGCCACCAGGCCTAGGCCGTCTGGGTTGGTCCTGTGCCCCCGCACCTCAGGTTTCTAGGGCTGTCTTAGGGATGGCTGTGTCCCTTATGTAATTTATTTCCAAGCTACTCTTCTGAAAGTTCGGTTTTCTCAGCACAGGTGCTTTCCTTGGCTGCTCAGTCTTCACTTGGCCCTGCTTCCCCAGGTGTCTTTCACATCTGCCTTCAGCTCCTCCCAACTTCCACATCTCTTAAGCATCAGAAGCAGCACATGGTCACTTATTTATTTTTGATACAAATGTACATGACACACGTCTTGACAGTCCACCCACCACCACAGGTAGGGCTGGCCCCCTGGGGGGACAGGTGGGTCAGGAAGGAGAGCTGGTGGGTGGTGGTGTTGGCCTCTCCAGCCTTCCCAGGCTGCAGTCAGGTCCCCAGCTTCTGGAGGGTGGGGCCACCTTGGGTGCAGGTAATGATGGTGAGTACTGGCCTCGCAGAGGTTACAGGGAGGGGCTCGCAGGTCCACAGCCACCAGCTGAGTTGGGGACCCCGGGGAGCCAGCCCCAGGCTCAGGTGCTCAGCCCTCTGCCTGGCCAGCACTTTCCCTCTACAAGGAGGGGAAGGAGAGATGGAGGGAAGTGGTTTTCCTTTTAAGTTCATAGAACAGGGGTATGAGTGGGGGCCGTGATGAGAAGAGGCAGCATCAGGACCACAGCTGGTGATCCCAGCCTTCTCTGGTCCCAGGTGGGCAACAGGAAGGCCCCTCCCCCAGTGCTGGTCCCACTGCTCTGGTCCTCTTGCCCCTCAAAGCTCGGGGTGGGTCAGACCTGAACGGCACTGCTGCCCACACACTCACACACAGGCACGCAGGGACACTCAAATACCACGAAGTTAAAATTAAGGGGTTGGAGAGAAGAAAGAAAAAAGATTTTCCAGTGTTTGCTGCTGGGGACCCCAACATACTAGTTGGGGCCTGTGCCCTAGGCAGGGGCTGTTTGGCATTAGAGGAGAGCAGCAAGAGGGCTGGTGGCTACAGGATGGGGATGTCCAGAGAGATATGTACAAAGGAGGGGGATGCCCCCACTCAGCCCCCAGTAGGGCTGAACTGGCTCATGGGGGGTAGGCTGCACACGGGAATGGCCCCATCTGGAGTGTCCCCTTCCAACCCTTTGCTGAAGGTGGGGGCTAGGAGTGATACCTTGCAGGCCCCTGCACACAGAAAGGGTGGGGTGCTATTTATAGGAGGGAGGTGCATGGAATGTGGGGGACAGAAGCTCCTGCCACCCCACCTCCCCATCCTTGGGGCTTGAAGGGGAGTGGGCACCAGGGCGCCTGGCTGCCAGGGGAAGATGGCAGCACTAAGAGCACTTGTGCCAGTGGCTCTGTTGGGGTGGGTTAGTGTCTGGAGTGGCCCAGCTCCCATGGCCAGTGAGGTCCCAGGGTGTGGGTGAGGGCAGGGAGTGTAGTCACTGTTTCTTCTCTCGGGTGGTAATGGTGACCAGCTGCTTGGCGGCCTTGGCGATGTCATAGGCGCACTGGATCACCTGCTGAGTCAGCAGCTGGAAGTCCACAGGGGCGCCAGGCTCTGGGGGTACTGTCTTCCGGCACTCACTCTGCAGCCGGTAGGCGCTGGCATTGAGCAGCCGCAGTGAGCTGCGCACAGGCTCCAGGGCTGGCCTCTGGAGGGAGGGAGGCAGGGATTCGGGAGACTAGGGCTTGGACTTTAAGCCACGTACTTCAATCGTGGCCAGCAAGTGGCCAGCAATCTCTTACCTCCACCCAGGTAAGAGATCCCCTATGCCTGCCCCACCCCTAGGGACTCCTGCTCCTCTCTGACCCCTCTACCTTTGGGAAGAGAGAGGCCATCTCAGTCACAGCCAAATGGATCTTCTCTGAGCAGGGCACAAAGCTGTGGGGGAAGGGAGGATGAATGAGGGGGCTCTCCAGGAAGGGTCCCACACACAGAGGACCCTTTGCTGGATCCCCTTTGCTGCTCTGACAGTACTCCCAAGTGTCCAAACCCACCTCATTCACACATACCTGTCATGTTTGAACTCCTGGGCTGCCCTCAACAGCTCCTGAATGTTCTTGGTGACCTGTTCTGTCTTCAAAATGACATCCTCGGTGCTGGGGAGCCCAGGATCTAGGTCCCCATCTAGACTTTCCAGCTCAGGGTGGAGATCGTCTTCTTTGCCCAGCTCTATGAACCGCTTCCCTTCCAGCCTGAGTCCCAGTGTGAGAAGAGAAAGCTGATCCAGCCACAGACACCCAGACACTCTCTGCCTCCTCCCCTCCGGGTGCCAGGGCTGGGAGCGATCAAAGGGAGCCGTACCCAAGCAGCGGGTCCCCACTCTGTGTGTTCTCGTAGTCACTGTCAGCACCGCTGCCGTGGCGGGAAAGCTTGCTCTGGAGGGCATGGGGAAGGGCTGGAGGTGAGTGCGCATTCCTGGGCGCACACGGCCTGTTCCCCATGTTGTCCCCAGGAGCACTGGGTAGGAATGTTACCACATGGCGGCTTCCTTCCTGGGGACACGACAGCAGTGGGGAGGAAGGAGTGAAGGGTACAGCGGAGGCAGAAACCCCCTTCCGAATCTGAAACCCAGAAACAGAGCCACAGTCAGTCCCTTTGCAGCTCCAGCATCAGCACAGCCTGACACCTGCAAGGACTCCAAACCTACTGGCTACAGTGGAGCCAACTCTCTAGGCCCAGCTTACCCGGTAATGGCCAGCAGGCACATGCACTGAATAGATGGCGTCATCCTCTAGCTCCTGTGGGTGGGGCAGCACAGTGGACATCACGACAGGCCCTGTGGCAGGCCCAGCCCTGCGCCCCACCCAGATGCATAGGTGACTCACAGTGCTGTGGAAGGGCTGTAGCCGCGTGCTCAGTTCGTCCCCAGGTGCACTCCCAAAGGGCTTCAGGGCAGAGCCTGGCTCATACATGGAGAAGGCCTGGCGGTCCCGGCGGTGGGTGCTCCCACCAGGTCCCATTGGTGTGTGCTCTGCCCGTTCACTGGGGAGTGGGGGTGTGGGCACCGGCCCTGGTGGCTGCCGGAGCTGCAGGTTCTCTGCTTGCAACTTGTGGATCTGTGAGTACACACATGGTATCCGCCCCTGCATCCAGCCAGGCACCCCACCTCTGAGAAGGCACCCTTCCCTGCCAGAGTCTTACAATCCCCACCCTGGGCTGCGGCCCTTACCTCCCTCTGGAGCCTCCGAAGTTCATCACTCAAGCTGCTGTTGACCTTCATGAGCTGCTGCACTTTTGCCTCGGAGGTAGCCAGGGCCTTCTTCAGCTCCAAGTATTCCTGAAGTGTCACAGCCCCATCAGACAGGTCTGAGGAGTCCATGCTCTGCAGAGAGAGAGAGAAACTGGTCAGTCAAAGGGGTAGGGAACAGATGCCCCTGAAGGTGGGCCCAGCCCCACCACGGCTCTATAAGATTAGGGGCTTCATGAGGGTAGCAGGGGGTGGGTGGGGACAACGCTCAGACCCGGGCACGGTTGTTCCGAGTGGCACCAGCACTGCGTAATGGCTCTTGGTCCGTGTCCTCATCAGAGGCCACACTGTCATAGTCATGCTGGTCATCAATGTCACTCTGGGTCCTTGCAGACAGCTCCAGGTTGTCTGAGGACACAAGATATGTTAGTCAGGGCTCGCTCAGCCATGGAACCCATTGTTCATGCCACCTGGGAGAATAGCCCGGGATGATGATCCGGCAGCCCTGCTCACGGTCTTCTACCTGTAGGGCTGCTCAGGCTCTTGCCCTGTTGTCTCCGCTTGGCCTCACTGAGAATATCAATGATCAAGGTGGCAAACTCCCGGGCATTAAATCGGGCCAATTTTTGTCGCCCCTGCAAGGTAGAAAGGACCAGGACAGCGTAAGAGACAGGGGCCTTATATCAAACCCATGGGGGTGGGGACAAAGCAGCAAGGTAATGCCTGTCACCTGATCTAACCACAACTAAACAATTCCAGCCTTACTTCATATGGCTTGTCAGGAGCACAGACACCAAGACTAGCCAGTCCAGCACACAGAAGCCAAATTACCACCTACGGCTGCTCACCAAGCCCACAAAAGGATGGCCTCTTCACTCCGGAATGTGAAGGCCCTCAGGCCCCGAGGGAGACTCCAGCGAAGGGTGGAGAGCTGACCTGGGCCTGCCCATGGCAGGATGAGGAAGAACAGGGCTTCCCAACCCCCTCACCTGATTCCGAGTGGCTGAGTATTCAGGGTTAACTGGCAAGAAGGGCACAGCACTGCGCTCCGTCACCAGGGTGCTGTGGTTCTGGGTAGCCAGCCACACTGTGGAGGAGGGAAGCAGCAGATGATCTGCCACGGTGGGGCCTCCCGAGTGGAGGTAGGAAGTGCTACCCTTCCCACACCCACTGAGCTAGCAGCACTGTGTCTGACACAGAAGCCCAAGAAGCCAGGCTGGGCCAGGGTAAGATCAGTGAGGCCACTGGCAACTGAGGAGTGGAACAAGGCCCATCCTGCCAGGCCCGCCCAGAGTTTGGGCTGGAACTTGGCTATGCTTGGAAGCAGTGATACAGAGGGATGGAGCAGGATTGGGGAAGTGGCCAGAGCAGCAGTGAGACTGGCCCAGTGACTGGTGGAGGGATGGGCTGGTCCCTCTAGCTCAGCACACTCTGCTCAGTGAGCAGCTGTCAGGCAGGCTCACAGCGGTTAGGGATCACCAACAGGCAGGGCGCTAAGACGCCCCCACCCCGGCCATTTCTTTTTAGCCCCACTGAAAGACCTGAGTCCCTTCTTTGTAGGCCCTTCCACCCTGGCCTCTATCCTAACCCCTACTCACCAGCATCATTTTCTCTTCTATCCACCTCATCATAGACGTCCATGGCAAGTTCTTCAAAAAGTCGGTTGCTGAGCTGGAGGCAGAGAAGGCGGCTCACATTTATAAGGCCACCTGCTCTCCCACACCAACAAGGCTAGCTCACAGATGTTGGGAATGG